AAAAAAATGTCGTTAGATATAACTTTCCCGGACTATTTACGTTTATATTATGTTCTTTCTTGGAGTTATTTTTACACAATTTTGTGATAAAATCGTGTGCTATATACAACAGTATAAACAATATGACGCTGACAAATACACCGTTCTGTTCAATGGCAATAATTATAAAATATTTTTAAAATATCAGTGTTAAATCTTGGTCTTGATATGTTTAATGTTGAACTGATGTTTTTTGTATATGGTAAATAATAATCGTGGCCTTTATCACCTAGTTTCTCGAAAGTATATTTACATAAATGTTGTGCTTTATAAGTGGGTTACTTTGATGTATTTTCTGCTTTCATTTTTAGATGCAAAGTTTCTGTTCCCAAACTTGATTGTATAATATATACCGTAAACCTCCGACTATAAGCCCTGGGCTTATATACTTTCGTAAGCGATTTTTGATGGGCTTATTACACAAGGGGGGGGGGCTTATTACACAAGGGGGGCTTATTATACAAGGGGGGGCTAATACATGGACGATCTTTTGTGTTAGTAATAAACAAGTCAGACATAAACAAGTCAGTCATAAACAGGAAAATAAACATGTATTAATAATAGATTAACTATTGATTTGATTAACATAGTCAGCTATATCGTTCTCTGCTATATTAAAAGACAATGTCAATGTTGAATAACGTAGTGGGCTACTGGGCTTATATTCGGGGGACTTATATTTGGGGGGCTTATATTCGGGAGGGCTTATATTTGGAATGAGGTAAGCATTAGTATATGTGGTGGGCTTATATTCAGGGGGGGGGCTTATAGTCGGAGGTTTACGGTATGCATCCTCAGAAACAACTTCAGCATATATTCCACAGGAAATGTTAGGCGGTGTTGGAATGTAATGGATATGGACAGCTCGCCACCAACTGTTGTGGATTTTGTATAAACTGAAAAGTTTTTCACAAAGCTGTCCTCCAGGTGCAAAATATAGTTAAGGAAACACTGCATGTGTAATCCTCCAGAAGCATTGCTGCTGGTATCCAAATTCTTCAACTCCAAAGTTTCTTTACATCAGTATCGACATAGTCAGTATGCCTTTGATAACTGCAGTACATCATGCATTGAAAGAAAGACGCAATAAAGTTACCCTTATTTAAAAAAATGTATAAAGAAACTTTGGAGTTGAAGAATTTGGCAGCAATGCTTCTGGAGGATTATACATGCAGTGTTTCCACGCATGCAGTTTATACAAAATCCACAACAGTTGGTGGTGAGCTGCTGAAGCTCCTTAATCGCATATCCATCACATTCCAACACCGCCTAACATTTCCTGTGGAATATATGCTGCTGAAGTTGTTTCTGAGGATATATTATACAATCAAGTTTGGGATTTTTTGGGATATATTATACATTCAAGTTTCCTGTAACTTTGCATGTAAAAATGAAAGCAGGAAATACATCAAAGTAACCCACTTATAAACCACAACATTTATGTAAATATACTTTCGAGAAACTAGGTGGTAAAGGCCAAGATTATTATTTACCATATATAAAAAACATCAGTTCAACATTAAACATATCAAGAGTCAAGACCAAGATTTAACACTGATATTTAAAAAGATTTTATAATTATTGCCATTGAACATAACGGTGTATTTGTCAGCAGTCATATTGTTTATACTGTTGTATATAGCACACGATTTTATCACAAAATTGTGTAAAAATAACTCCAAGAAAGAACATAATATAAACGTTATATCTAACGACATTTTTTTAGATATCCAACATATCATTCATTTGCATGAACAGTTCCATGTTAGCACTTTATATGCGTATCTTGCGTCCACATTCAGCTCACTCTTACGAACGATTTCAATCACTTTAAATACAGTTCTTAAGCTCATAAATACAAAAATACACTCCTCTTACCTTCGCCTTTAATGTACTATCGACAGAAAATACGATAAAAGACAAGATCACGAAAATGTTCAATTTTATTACTGAAAATACACTTCTCACCAATACAATTCCCTATTATACTTGCTTGCAATCTACTTGCCAGCAACATGGCGGCCGTCAATTTCCGGTGCGAGGCGGCAGCGTCAAAAACATCAAAGGAGTGAGCCATCTATTCATTCTTTAATCTATGACTTGGTGCAGAAGAACGAGGAATGGATATAGAAGTTGGTGAGGAAGAAGGAAGAGTTGGTGATGAAGTAAGGAAGGTTGGAGACGAAGAAGGAGGACCTGGCGGCGAAGAACGAAACCCTGGCGGTGAAGGGCGAAGTCCTGGCGGCGAAAGGCAAAGTCCTGGCGGTGACGCAGCTGAGGGTGGCGAACGGAGCCACGAAATTGTGATTGAAAGAGCGGGGGAAGAAATGCAAACGGCTGGAAGATCGTGGGCAGATATTGTTGGTTCGCAGAATTTAAGTCAAGGAGCTGTACCGTTACCACATGCTCAGTTTGGAGCTAGGTTTGCTGGACCCAACTCCGTTGTGTTGCATACTCAAGCGTTTAAGGATATTACAGTGCGTGAGGTCATGGATGCCGTTTTAAAATGTGTGAGACAAGATACAATTAAATATGTGCAACAAGTTCCTGGACCTCGGTATCGTTTGACTTTTCGCTCGAGTTATTGCTCAAGAGCTTGATATGCCTACGTTACTGGTTAATTAAAGTTTTGTATGCCCCTAATGAAATTTCTAATCAAACGATAGCTGCAACCTTGGCGAAGTATGGCAAAATAGTGAAGGTGGATCGGGAAATGTATCGTGATTGGCCTAATGTCGAAACTGGGGTTCGACTGACAACAATGGGTGAATTAACTGAGGGGATTCCCCGTCGTCTCCTTATTGGCCCTTATCCGATAGAAACTAGATATCGTGGGCAAGTGCCTTTATGTGGCAGATGTGGCGAATATGGACATCGTGTTGCTACGTGTTCGAATGATGTAAAGTGTTTCAAGTGTGGTCAAAATGGTCATATACAACGTCAATGTTGCAAGTGTTTCCTATGTGGCCAGTTTGGGCATGTAAGGACAAATTGTCTAGAGAATCGATGTGACCTATCCAATGACAGACATGATGAAACGTAATTTGAGTAACGATATCGGTCGTGATGAAGACGGTAGCGACGTCTCCCGGTCGAGTGATGAAGATATGGACCCTGTGGGATCGACAAGTTGTAAGGATCCAGGTGGCATCAGAGATGAAGTTATGAACGGGATATACAATGATGCCAGCCAACATCACCCAACAGAACAAGGATCTGTCCAAACAGTCGAGAACAACAAAAGAAAAGCAGAAGAGGACGTTTCCATACCTGACGAAGGTGTTAAGGTTCCTGAAGACTCCACTGACCAACGTGTCAGTGATACGGGAGGCTCACCTGAAGAACAGACAAAAAAGACCGATAAGGGGAAAAAGAAGAAGAGGAAAAACATAATAAACATTAAGGGACAATGGCGGAAATGACTGTGTTAATGGACTTAGAGATCATCGGAAGCGTCGTCTGCTGTTTGACTTTTTAAAGTATGAAAAATTTGATGTTATATTTCTTCAAGAAACGCATATTGCAACCGTTGAAGATTGTGTAAAATGGAACAAGGAGTCGGGACTGAAAGGGTATTGGAGTCTTGGCTTGTCAAATAGTTGTGGTGTTGGTACTGTATATTACTCCGTGATCCCGACAGATTCAAACACTGTACTTTTCGTTGTGATGCTGCTGGACGTATCATTTCTTTGGATTGTACATTCAATAGTCAGGATTTTCGGTTTATTAATATATATGCCCCTACTGACGGGACTAAGCGCATAGAATTTTTTCAAAGTCTTGATACACATTTCGTCTCTCGTAGACGGTTAATTATTGGAGGTGATTTTAATTGCAAGTTAGATTTGGAGAAGGATAAATATGGCGGAAATCCAGCCTCATGAAATACTGGTGCTTTACATCTAAAGAAACTAATACAGCGATTTGATTTAGTTGACATTTGGCGTAAACAGCACCCAACTGATCGTCAATTTACGTGGCAAACTAAAACGTGGTAGCATTAAATGTTGTTTCGACAGATTTTATGGACAGATTTTATTTTATTTTTTTATTTTAATTGTCAAACGCATGACGAATTAAAGGCGCATACAGTACCTCTGCTGCATTTAATATTTGGATTTCTTGTTCCTTCTGACCCCGCAGGATAGCTAAAAGTAAATATAGGGCACTATCAGGTGACAATCGTTGACACGTGGGACGGAATTACAGGTTTTTTTTACCTTTATAAGGGACACTTGGAGAGGTAACAACAACTGTTGCTCGATACTCCTAAAATATGCCATAATATTCTAAGCTACTAGAAATATACAATCCTCGTTTAATTTAATTAAGGCGCATTACAACTCTTTTAATTAATTGAAAAAACTAACTAGGAAAATCAATATTTAGGAAAATGAAAACCATAATTCAAGATCAGTGATTTCAATGTTTTTAACATTTTTAAGAGGAGATTTGACAAAAATACCATCAGTCCTTGCGCGAAAACGAAGGAATTTGTTGTTTTTGTATAAATGGCGGCGCAATATTCAATTCCGAACAAATAAATTACTAAATTTGTGAGTAAAAAGCAGTGAAATTAAAAAATAAATACTAGTGGTGGAGTCATTAAAATGTCAAAAATTAAAAGGGTTGTTATGCGCCTTCATGCGCAACCATCATTCAAAAGGCTGAACTGTGCCTTTAAATAAAGTGTTATTATTATTATAATTATTATTATTATTATTATACATACATGCATGCATTGCATGCACCAAGCTTTCCCCTTTTTAATCAAACATCTGTATTTCAATCATTATTAGATGAAGTATTGCACATCAGCTAACTGCTCACTAAAGGCTGGCATAAAGTAGTAGTAGTCGTAGTAACAACGAATATATTATTTTCTATTTTTTTCAAAAATAGCAAAAGTAAATTAAAATATTTGTACTTCTAATTATAGAATTATTAAATTCCGAAATACATAATGTAAGTATGTTAATTACTATGCTTTCTATAACCTTCCATTTAATGTAGAATTAAATCTTAAATAAAATCAGTTTAAATAATATAGTTCGCTCTTGAGAATATTTTTCCTTGGCATTTTATGCTTTAATACACCTACATTGAAATTAAGTGGAAATCAGTGGATAAGCAAAATAATTAAATCTGGCATATATTTCATGATCTCCGATTATATGTATCACTTTTTATCATTTCTTCAAAGCAAAATTTAAAAAGTTGCTTCAATACTCAGTGTATCCGTGTAACCATCCATACGTTTATTTTTTCATTTTTCTATTCCACTCATGCAGATTCCACGCCAGCCAGTTCGCCATATTTTAGACCATTTTTTGACAATTAAAGCAGCCATGAACTCAGGGTTCGTACAGGTCAGGAAGAGCCAAACTCAAGTACCTTCAAGGCCACGTATCAGGTTACTGAAGGACTATAAAGCGTCGATACTACAGTTTGAAGTTTTGAACTAAATACTATAGTTTGAACTTATACCTGTTCTAATCTTTCTCGAAACACTTCCATGTGTAAAATTCCACGAAATCCAAGCCTCATTCCTTGCCCTAGAGCAGCACTGTAACAGGAAACATCAATATGTATCAGGTGGTAAAATGAAGTACCGTTGGAAAAGGAATACTTGCAAACATACGTACAAAACAGTGGCGAAGCTAGACATAGCACCTGATCATATGGCATGCAATTTTGATGTATTGTCTTTAGACTATCTAAGTGCATGCACTATATTATCTCGTTCACACTCATGACGCCGATATCGTCTCCATGGATTCTTTTAAAGCTCCCTCGTGGCCAACATGCATTCTATTTAAAATTAATTTGCGACTGATGTTAGCGTTACATCAAGAAGAGCTACGAGTCAATCTCCAATTTTTAAAATCAATCCTAATTGAAAACTCTCGCCCTAATCCTAATCTTAACCTAAGCCGATTAAAATAGACGAAATTAAGTAATCGTCAAAACGTCAAGTAATTACTATACACTTGTTACAAGCTAAGAGTTTGTATTAATCAAACCTAACGGCGGTTGTACTGTACGTAAAGTAATCTTTTGTAACAACTTGTCCTAACAACCGCAAAACAAATCTGTCTGGTACACTTACCTACTATCGCGATGGACACTTACACTGGCATCATTCAAAGTCAGTTTCTCAACAGCATTACGTAAATCGAGAAAGTCAGATTGGTTTACTGGATAAAAACCAGCATAAACCTAAAAAGAAGCAATAATATTTTTTATATTCGCCTTAAATTTCCGAACCATTTTATAAATCCGCAAATTATCAAATTGGTTTGTGCTTAGGCCCGGTTCAAAAATTTTATTCACCGAATCTAATGAGTAAATGTAAATTTGGGTCGATTCAAATAATAAAGTTTGACGTTTTGATTCAAATTCAAAGTTATAAAGTATAGTCCCCAGAATTCACTATTGGCATTTTTAAATACATTTTAGTGGAAATTTTAAATATATTTTATCATAATGTTTCATAATAGCTACGGTTTTACAGATTTCTGCCTATGAACTCATACAACAATGTACTTGACATCTCCGTTATATATTTACCTCCGCCAGGAGGTTATGTAATCATCTAGGTTTGTATGTTTACCTCCGCCAGGAGGTTATGTAATCATCTGGGTTTGTATGTGTGTGTGTATGTGTGTGTGTGTGTGTGTGTGTGTGTATGTGTGTGTGTTTGTCTGTGAGCACGATAACTCAAGAAATACCAAACATATCCGTACGAAATTTTTTGAATGCATTTCCCATTGGCTAAGGAAGAACTGATTAAAATTTGGTTGAATTTGGTTAAAAATTGAACGAGAAATGAACAAAATTTTGTCTTGCTTTTCCCGGTCAATTAACAAAAAATATTACTGAATGCGTAATTAGGACGTGTATAATTTATGCACTCAGTGCTAAGACAATAATGAGATGATAAACCTCATTCTCATACATCATTAGATATTCATAGCATTTCGGCCAATGACATGGTTTAATTTACATCACGTGTATCTATCTGGATACCCCGTCTAGACCAGGACTTTAATTACTTCAAGTGGGAAGGGCTTTGAACAATAGGGAAATTGAGGGTAAACAAAAGATTATGCAAATATATTTAATTGCTATGTTTAGAATTATTTCTAAATACAGTAAGTTGTATTTAGAAATTTATTCTAACTACACTTTATAGCTAACACTTTTCCTGAACGTTTGAAAACTACATAAATATAGGAAAACCAACTTTTTTACCAACTATCATAATAAACAGCGCTTTAAATACTATAATACAGCAACTTACCAGTAATGTTTACCGTCTATAAAATATATATTCACTTCGGCTCTTTCATTTTCCACCAGATAGCGCCTTATCGCACACACAATCTGATATATCGTTTTTCGGATCCCCAACCTTGTCAACCGAGCGACAATACTGTGCACAATACTGTGCTCAACACTTTCTGGTTCTCGAAACCGCTTTTTCTTATATTATAAGAACATACCATGCTCTTTTGCCAACAAAATTCATCTATTCAGGACGAAAGCGAACTGAATGCTTCGTTGCACTTCATGCAAACTTTCAAGCGAATGTAATCGTTAATGCCCACGCTCACTTTTTTGAATATCTAATAATTTCATGCCTCATTGCTATGAAAGTCTAATGATGTGTGAGAAGCAATTTCAAATCCTCGTTAGTGTTTTAAACTTGGCTTCCAAATCCCCAGTGCCATGAACAATGGCTCGGCTGCGCCTCGCCATTGTTCATGGCACTTGTATTTAGAAACCACGTCTAAAACACTAACTCGGATTTGAAATATTACTTAAGCTTCGGCCTTCATTATCTATTGTCTTAGTTGCATTTCACGCGACCGAAATTCAATGTCTAAAACAAGGCTTACGGAGTTACGCATTATTACGTTCAGCAAAGTGCCAGTCCATTCAAATTCTAACAACATTTAACAACATTAGATTACTTCAATACAGGGTGTATAAAAAGAACGCAACCTCGGAATTTCCCAAGAAATCGACATTGTTTTAAAGACAAAAGATTTTAGCTGCCTGGGAATTTAAAATAGCACAACTGTGAAAATTACTGCACGCGCGAGTGCATAAAGCAAAATTTATGCATTTATTTAATACACTTAATAAGTTTTTATTTTACAAGTACTGTACAGGGTGTCCCAAAAAAAACGAAAACTATTGAAATCACTTATTGTTAAATTTGAATGCCCTACCAAACAGCTGGACGTAATGATGCGTAAAATATTGACAAGGTGCATGTATTAGAATTTAGTTAGGAATATCTCCTGGTAAAGTGCGCGATTTTCTGCTCCTGGGAATTAAAAACAGCTTCTTAAACAGTTTCTTTATGCATAAAATTTACTTATGTCAATCATTTATGCACTCGTGGGAACCAACAGAGCGCTAAGGCATTCAAATTCTAACAATTAAATTGTTATTGGTGATTTCAATAGTTTTCGTTTTTTTGGGACACCCTGTACAGTACAACAACAGTAATATGATCTATTAGCAATTCGATTTCAATTCGCGGGGGCCTAAAATCTTTTATGCTTAAGAATTATAAAGTGGATTTCTTAGGAAATTCCAAGGTTGCGTTTCACTTCCGAGTAACGGGCGGAGGTATGCAGTCTCTGAGTGCCCTCTAGTTGTTTGTGTATTTGTTTGTTTGTTTGTCTGTCTATATGTTTGTGTATCTGTTTGCGTATTTGTTTGTTAGTTTGTGTATTTATTTATTTTCTGTTTGTTTGTTTGTTTGTTTGTTTGTTTGTTTGTTTGTTTGTTTGTTTGTTTGTTTGTTTGTTTGTTTGTTTGTTTGTTTGTTTGTTTGTTTGCTTGCTTGTTTGTTTGTTTGTTTGTTTGTTTGTTTGTTTGTTTGTTTGTTTGTTTGTTTGTTTGTTTGTTTGTTTGTTTGTTTGTTTGTTTGTTTGTTTGTTTGTTTGTTTGTTTTACAATTGTTTTGCCTGTTTACTTGTTTCTCTGTTTGTTCGTCTGATTGGACCTATGATTGGACCTATATATGATTAGACCTATGATTTGACAAGTGATATAAAGTGATAGAAATTGATAGCATTGGAGAGGCAGCCTCTACGCGTGTTTGACTTGTCTTTTACCTTGCATGACTTTGTCTGTTACTCTGTTCTGTTTTGCTTACATTACTATTTGATTTCCTTATTCTTCCTCTCTTTTGCAGGCCGTATTTCACTTACTGGATCTCATTCGTTCAAACCACAGTCCTCATTATAACCCTCGCTGTGTATGGTTTTGCTCCAGTCGGGTTTACCGTCTCAGAACAAGTCGCTAGGGTGAGCTCTTCAACTCCGAAACTACAGGGTGTATTTGACAGCAGTATATATAGTCTCGAATTAATGAATGCGTGAAAACACAAGGTCTTCTGCACACGGGAATTTAGGATAACTTCTATTTGTGTGAACAAATACACAACTCAAAGAAAAATGTTTAAAGTAAACATTATTCAAGTCTGCATAAGATATAAAATGGGCCAGCTTACTGCAGAGCAACGAATATTTAAAAGGTTATTGGCAGGGGTTTCAGAATAAACCGGCGGCCGGCGGAGTTCCGCCGGCTACTTGAACTTTTACCGCCGGCTACTTTTCGTCTGGTCACAGGAAAAATGTTATATACTAAGGTAGAAACGAACCAACACGATGTTTGTTATGTTCCAATTGGAATTCAAGTAGGCCTCGAATTTCCCTGAAATCAATCGACGGCAATGGCGTTAAAAATCGCCGTAGAACGTAACAGCTGTCTACGGCAATTTTGTCAGTTTCCAAAATTCCACGGCATTTTTTCAAATTATTGTAATAAAAATTTAATTTGATTAGTGTTACTTTGGATTGCTGACAAGCTAGAAACATGTTTACGTATTTCTTTAGTGTTTTTTTTTTTCGAAGAAAACTGAGACTAAAAGTCTAAAATAGTAATTTACGGAAAATTTGATCAACATCTGAATTCAAGTATCAAAATAGTAATGCACAGTGAACAGTTTAAAAATTATACTATACGGCAAAAAAAAAAATGCAGTCGTTGCCGCAATGATCCACGGCATTTTGTTCTCTCTCTACGGTAATTGGCGCGATATGAAATTCAAGCCCTGAATTCGAGCAAAACATCACTTATTTTGGAAGATCAATAAGATAAATTATAATACATAGTACCAAACATAGCAAAAGAAAGAAAAAGTGATAAAGTGAAGTTCATTACGTACATATAAGTATAACATCATTTGATTAATGATTTCGGACTCGTAAATTAATACTATTCCTGTAGTGTACATTGTCATTTGCATTTATACAGGTAAGTGACAATGTCAATACTTTAATGTCGTTATAGTGACAATGTCAATACTTTAATGAACAGAAAGACATCTAAATCTAACATGTTAACAGTTGTACTTTGTCTTTTTACTTATTCTATATTATTTGATTGTTAATTTGCGATTTGCTATATTATTGGATTTGTTAATTTTTAAATTTTCATGCGAGGGCACGCTCCCCTCCCCGCGCGATTTTTTAACTATCAGTCACAGCCGGCTACTTTTTTTGGTACAACCTCCTACTTCAAATCATTCTGAAACCCCTGTATTGGCTAATTTGAATTTGAAAGGTTGTTTACACCCTGTTTTTATACACCCTGTAAAACTAAACTAAACTGCAGTGTGTATAAAAAAAACTGACCCCTTTCAAATTTAAATTAGCTATAACGTATTGTAGTAATTTGACAGCTCTAATTGCTTTGAATTAATGGTTAGGTTGTTTGGGTAAAAACACAAGGTCTTGTACTCATGGGACAAAACTCAAAGAAATAAAAATTGGAAAATTTAAAAGAAATACAGTATTTCTTTTAAATTTTCTAATTTTTATTTCTTTGAGTTTTGTCCCGTGAGTACAAGTGAGTTCTTACCCAACCATTAATTCACGTGAGTTCTTACCCAACCATTAATTCAAAGCAATTAGAGCTGTCAAATTTATTCAATACGTTATAGCTAATTTGAATTTGAAAGGGTTCAGTTTTTTTTATACACACTGTAGTGTAATTTACAAAAGCAGTAATTGGTTTACATATCTTATAATATTTTTTTATTTTTATCACTTTATTTCGTACGTTTTAGGTTCACAGAAGCCGTGGTGGTTACTTGTCAGAAGAGAAAGTTGCAACTGAATTTCCGGACAACTTTTGGATTGGCCCTTCAAGAGTAAGTCAGTGATGACCGGGTATCCCCCCAAAAATACTGGACACTGTTTGAATTCATGTGACGTATAAAAGCTATGAAAGCTATCACAACATGCTTTTAGCCAGGGTCCTGAAAGAGGGCGTCCAATTTTGGTATAACGAAACATCTACAGTAAAGAGGGTTGAGAAAACGTTCCTTTGGAAAATCTTTGAAGTTTACGTTACTTCATGTCAGTATCTGTTCCAAGCTCGTTCGAAATTTTTCAAACACACTTGGCTTTGTGAGTTTGTGCCGCTATGCTTCTTTACTTAAAGATGATGTCCACTCCGTTCTGCGCATCAGTTCTGCTCATAAGAAAGGGGGACCCCCAGATATGAATATTGCCCAAATTTTGCATCTTTCGAACTTTTTTGAATTGAAACGTAGAGTTTATATTCATTTACAAGCATAGCGAACCAGAAAAGTGTTAGATATTCAGTTAGTATATCATATTTTACAAATATAGCAGTTCAAAATGTAAACAAAGTTTGTGCATGTGCACAGGGGTGGACATCATCTTTAACTACGACATTTTCATTCAGCATGCAGGTACAACATCATATTGATCAAAATGTCAAATACATAATAACAATGAGAATTGAAGCTATTTCGTTTCAGATATATTAATATACTTTGGGAAATAATTGAAAATAATTTCCCTTTCCCCCAGAATTTGGGTGTCCAAAGGCGTCCACTTTTCGTTCTGGGGCGTCCCAGGACGCCTGGACGCCCTTCTGGCTAAAAGCCTGTATCACAATGAAATATAGATCATTGCATTCAGAAAGGACTATCTTAGATTTTGATATATAGCACTTTAATTTACATGCAATATTGTTGCATTACGCATCGTTGCCGGGGACATTTGAAGCTCTGGATTAACAAAATAAAGGTTACAACTATGTTTTAACTTAAATAGAATACATGATAGTGTTGGGAAAGCATTAAAAACCGTTAAGGAAAAAAAAATATGTGGGTTTCCTATTTCTTCTTGTAAAAACTTAGGTAGGGTAGGTCGGTTTCAACTTTTTTAAAAATTTTTTTTTAAATTTTCCTAACAATCGGATGCCGTGTTTGTTGTTTAGTCAGTGCTTCCACATCCAAAGATAGATTTCCCTAATATTGCCTCAAATTTCCATTTTCTACAAATGTTTTCCTCTAAGTGGAAACACTTACAAGCATGATCCAATAAAAAGGTTAGGGTCGGGATTTCGGCGTCCAAAAGTTAGGTAGGGTCGGGAAACCGGAAACCCACATATTTTTTTTTGGCCTAACCAAGGTCGCATCACTGCCAACTCTCGTGCACTCTCATCTGGGCTTAACGTGCTAAATTTGGATTAGCTTTTTTATACGCTCTGTATAACTATTTCACCATCCAGGACGCCCTGATTCAGCTTGGAGCGAAGTACGCGCCTTGCATGAGGAAGGACAAAGAATTGCAACGTTTGTTGGACAAAGAGCATCAGGAAGAAGCCGAAACTGGATGCTGTATTGGAACTGATCAAAATGGTTGTATACAAACCTCTCAAGACCAATGCAAGGTAGGAAACCCAGTAAGGATCCTCTTTTATTGATCCAGTGTTGCTACAGGAGGATAACCTAAACTAACTTTATTTATACTGGATAGCTCTATCAGTTCTAAACTGTTCTCCCTAGAGGTCCAGTAAGGGTCATCTCTTGTTGATCCAGTGTTACTACAGGAGGAAACCTAAACTAACTTTATTTACACTGGATATCTCTATCAGTTCTAAACTGTTCTCCCTAGAGGTCCAGTAAGGATCCTCTTTTATTGATCCAGTGTTGCTACAGGAGGAAACCTAAACTAACTTTATTTATACTGGATAGCTCTATCAGTTCTAAACTGTTCTCCCTAGAGGTCCAGTAAGGGTCATCTCTTGTTGATCCAGTGTTACTACAGGAGGAAACCTAAACTAAACTAACACTTCTTTATTATGGTTATTTTCTCATTTCTTGTTCAGAAAACATTTTCTACTTTACGCAAGTACACGCAGACCAACACATCCAGAGCTGTTTGTGGGCAAGACCCCATGTAAGTAGACGTGCTTTAGTCTGCGAACAGGCTCTTTTAGTCGAGTGCAGGTTAGCCGTCCCAAGAGATGGGTAAATGTCAACATTTTGAGCTTCTCGCTCATAGAGATTATAAATAACACTAGACATGACGAGAGGAGGCATCGAGTTTAAAAATTAGGAACGCAGCTAATGGGGGGCAAATTCAAGTCCCGGATATAAAATCGTGCCCTCATTGGCTGATTTGAAACTCGTCACCAATAGGAACACGAATACACATCCGGGACTTGAATTTGCCCCCCAATAGTCGCGTTCCCTTTTTTTACTGAATTAAGATTACAATGCCTCCTCTAGTGTTTTTATAATCTATATGAGTGCGCCTCAGTTGTTAGTTACGTCATAGTTTATTAGTATGTACTGAATTTTATAGCGCGTGTGTTGATCCACCCTCAGTAGAGCCAAACAAATGGCCTCCGTACGACATTACCAAGTGGCCGGTAAGTAATAGACGGGGCTCAAAATAACGGGAGATAGGTCCCCTGTGAAAATGACCGGTCAACATGATTTTAGCTCGGTCAAAATAGGCTGGATCGATATACCGGATATATCCGATATACCGGTATTTGTTTAGATACCGGTTTGGCGATATTGACAATTTAAAAATACCGATATACCGACATTTCTGTATTTTGCTGCCTAATACCGAAATGAAACGCTCTTTCAAGTCAAACTTGCTTACAATCACGTTTAGAAAGCAAAGTTAATACTCACAGATGCATGATTTTGTTCTTACAGTTCTAGCGGCTTTGGTTTAGCAATACCAGACGTCTTGTTTATTAAATCGCCTTAATCGGAAATATAAAAATGGCGAAATTTTTAAAGGAAAATTTCGACAAAAAAGAAAACTTTGATTTTGGAAGGTGGAAGTACTAGCATTTGCAAAGTAGCGAAAACCTTTCCTGGCTTTTCAAGTTTTTTTTACATGCTTGCTAACTTGTTTATGTGTTAGTTTTAAAAATGCAACGTTTTTTATGTTTATAACTATTAGCAGCTTACTGAAACACTATCTGAATTTATATACAAAACGAATATTTTTCTGAATAATTCAACACTTCGACGCCCAATCGACGGCCTACTAATAATTGCCGCTTAGCGCTGTTAATTGTTAACATAGCTTGATAATGCGAATCTTGTGACATTTGCACTAATAACAGTATGTGCCACACTAATATTTTGTCAAAAATTGATTTTTCTTGACGGTCAGCACTTCAGTTTGGCTTAAAAAAAACACGTTAAAAATACCGGAATACCGGTATTTACCGGTATTCTGATGGCAGTATATCGGTATTCGGTATTTGCGATATCGATCCAGCCTAGGTCAAAATCCGGTCATTGATACGCTTACACTAACAGTAAAGCAAACTATTAGAAACTTGTTGCGATACATCATAATTTCATGTTGTAATTCAAGACGTCAGCAATCACATTGGAAGGCATGAAAATGTGGCCAGTCAAGAGGCATTTTTGACCGGCCGTTGCCTGGACTAATAGATATTTTGACCTTATTTGGGCCGATTACATGGAGCGAGTAAATGGGAGTTGTTCCAGCTACGGTATAAGGAAGTTAACTTTTGAACGGTCTTGCAAATCCCTTGAGGGAATTTGCAATGTTGCTAAAAGCCGATTAAATTTTCCTCAGTTCCTGTTAGACGTTCTTAACTTCCTGTTACAAGTTCCCAACTTCCTGTTGTGTTCTGCACGTTGCAATTGGCTAACAAAAATATTCCATCAATAACAACGCTCAGAACAGAACAGGAAGTCGGGAAATTAAAACAGGAAGTTAGGAAAATTTAAAATGAAGTTTGTTTGCATTGCAATAAGTGCAACAGCCGATATGAACATTGCAAATTCCCTCAAAGAGTTTTTCAAATTTGCAAAACTAATGAGGAAATTTTCAACGTGTGTGATTTTTTAGCCCGCTTTGCTGGGACAACTCGGCAGAATCCAATTACATAGAGAGAATGCGTTATTTTCTACTCGACTAACCGAGTTATCTCGGTTGTCAACAGGTGAGATCCCGGCTAGGCAAGTTGGCCCGTTTCTCATTTAATCGCATTATTGTTTTTAATAGTATTTACTATTGAAGCCGCGGTATCGGTAAAATTGTCCCACCTAGGCTAGCCGGAACAACTTGGCCCATGTAATCGGCCCTGCTAAATGGCAAACTTCTTAGGACAATTTCTGTATTAAAATTGAAGCATGTAGTAGCTACTTAGTTGTCGAAAACCTGCAGAACATACCTTCAAATGCGATTAGCGGTTTGCCGTAAAGGTCAATCTTAAAGTCTTTACTCTTTAGGAGGAAATTTTTTTGTATGCTACGTATTAACACGCGCTCAAAACTAATGAGTGTACCAGTACTTGCTGTTATGACTATACATCCAACATTTTTATTTTTCGATACGTTTCTCAATCGGCAAACAAACTTAAAAAGTATGTTTAGTCTTTTATCTGTAAAATAATGCCAAAATGAAGAGTTTTAGATGGTACGCCAAAGAGAAAATGATGTCTGAAGTTCAGCAGGTTTGGCTTATATGACTGTAAATATGGCGTCATTTTCAAAGCGTCATTGATAATTGTATTTTAATTGACAATTTTTTGCTATTATTTTATGTTTCTCAACTGGCAACTAATGCATTTAAAAAGGTTGCTAACTGTATAAACTAGAGAATAAAGTTAAAACAAAGCAATTTTGAGATGCACGCCAAAAATATTTTCGGTTTTGAACACTTTCTATCGCAAATACGTGACATAGAAAAAAATTGCCTCTTAATTATACTAGGAATTAAACGTCGAGATGAAACGCATCAAACACGTCCAAACTCATGTTGTCTGTGGGAATGATTTTGGATGAGTACATTTTATTTTTCTTGTAAAGATTTGTAAAAAATTAACAGAAGAATCGAAGAACGACACGACGTCGCCTCACTTGAATTGTAAGATAACTGGTCGGCCATGTTGCATACGTGACCAGGCTGAGTGCCGTATCGTTAGCCAGGAATATTGTGAGTTCCTGAATGGCGTCTATCACGATGAGGCCACATTGTGTTCACAGGTGAGTAAATAATGGTTTCATCTAAAAAAGTTAGGGAACTTGATACAGACATAAATAGTCATTCCGAAGTTGATGAAAGGACTGGGGACGAATGTTAAAAAGTGCCCAAGTTAAGAAATCACTAAAAAGACCACCTCAAAGTATACAAAGTTTGAAGACATTTACATGAATACCCTTCGAACAATAAGCTTTCGAAAATCGCGATATTTACTATGAAATGTACTGTAATTTTTGTTTTTGGGAACGCGCGTCCCAAAACTTTTAATCAGTAATTTCACAATTTATTATTCGAAGGGTATTCATGTAAACGTCTTCAAACTTTGTATACTTAGGAACCGGTCATTATTTATGGTGGGGGGGTGGCACCGAAGAGAAATGTTTTTCGTGGCAAACATTTTGCTGACCCAACTATTATAAAGTCAAAAATTTGATTACCCAACCTCAAATATCAATTAAAAAATAAATACCCATTCAGTTATCACATATCTCCTTTACCACTTCTGTGACACGAGTTTCAATTAAACGGCTTGTGAAATTTTCTGCACATGTACTTTCTTTGTTGTCTGCACATATACTTTCTTTGGAGACATGCACCATTTGTCTACCAAACGATTCACATATTGTATTGACATATGACTGCTGACACTCTAATTGATTCACATATTGTAGTGACATACGACTGTTGACATTGCTTTTCAGTCTCCAATATCAGTGAGTCATGTTTTGGAAATGACAATAAATTTTCATTACCAAACCCTTGCATTGTTTTGGTTTTCATTTACCCAACCTTTTACTTACTCAAAATTTTGTTTACCCAACCTTTTTCTCTTCGGTGCCACCCCCCGCCATAAATAATGACCGGTCCCTTACTAATTTTGAGGTGGTCGTTATAGTGATTTTGGTTCATTTCTTAATTTGGACACTTTTTAACACTCGTCCCCAGTCCACTCATCAACTTCGGAATGGCTATATAGACCCATCCTCGTTCCCAGGGCTTCTCGGCTGCCTGCGTTGCAGCCGAGAAGCCCTGGGAACGAGGATGATATAGACCTCATTATCTATGTTTTTGTTTGGTTTATGCTAAAAAATAGTCGGTTCATCGTCGCGTGTGTATTGTATTTTCGCCAGAGCAACCAATAGCTATGTTTTCGTTTAACCATTGTGTAATATCACGACTGGGTAATTAAACCAAAACATTGCTATTGCTTCAATTTGGTTGGTTATGCGAAAAAACAATACACACCTGACGATGAACCGACCATTTCTTGCATAAACAAGACAACGTAGATAAATGAGGTCTATTATAATGTTTGTGATGTTACTCTGAGTGTATATCCACACCAGACAGGCTTGAAAAATATGCCTGGCCACGGTGGGAATCGAACCTACGACCTTTGGAATACTAGCCCAATGCTCTCCCAACTGAGCTACGCAGTCAGGTCGGTTCGAGTATGTGATATGTCGGAACGGAGTCTATTTCCTTCGACATCAATGTAATCTAATAATCATTAACCAAAAAAAATCATGATTATTAGATTACATTGATGTCGAAGGAACTAGACTCAGTTCCGAAATATCACATACTCGAACCGACCTGACCGCGTAGCTCAGTTGGAAGAACATTGGGCTAGTATTTCAAAGGTCGTAGGTACGATTCCCACCGTGGTCAAGCATATTTTTCAAGCTTACCCGGCGTGGATATACACTCAGAGTAACATCACAAACATCCTATTCACCTGAGTACGTAACACCAACACAGAAAAAATCGAGGTCTATGTATTATGTCTGCATCGAGTTCCTTCTAGCAATATCGTGCAGCAGATGATGGGCAACCTGCAGTTATCAGAGCGAAAAATAATATTGAAGAATTCAGTTTCATTTGTTTGATTTGGTGAGCACGAACGTGTCGGTTGTTTGCTCTTGTTGTCAAGTGTTTCCCTTCAGGAAATAAAGCCATTCCGTTGATTGATTGTTCTTATTCAGCCTTTGCCGAAGTGACGTCATTGATTTCTTAACTTCACGTAATATTTCCGCATGACTGCAAGACCCGAATATAAGGCCTGTTTCATACATCTCACTATCGTCGAATTTAATTCAGACGAATTTAATTGAACGAATTAAATGCGACGGTAGTACATCGTATGAAACGAATTAAATTCGTCCGATGAATTAAATTCATCCAAGACGTTTTATCCGTCATGGTCAGACGGATACAACGTCTGCAACGCGTCTTCGTTTCATACGACGTGTTATCGTTGTGTCGAATTAAATGCATAAATTATGTTAAAGTCTGTTTCTCTCTTTCTGATCTCGTGGTTTTTACTTCCGGGTAGTCCATGATCGCTAGACATGAAATGAATTCGTCTGAATTAAATTCGTCGTTTGAAACGAAACCATTTTAGTGTCGAATTAATAAGGAATTTAATAACGAATTAAATTCGTCTGAATTAAATTCGACGTATGAAACAGGCCTAAGTGTCAATATTTTTGCAGGTGACCAGTGGTGCCGCCAGGATTTTTTTTTTTGGGGGGGGGCGTGATAATTTGTGAAGTCACAATTCTAGAGGTGTCCGGGGGCATGCTCCCCCAGAAGGAAATTTAGTTTTGAATTTCAATCTTGTTTCTGTTTTCCAGGTTGATTGTCTGGGAGCTACGTGTGGTCTACTGCCATTTCTACATCCGGAAACTCCAGATCAGATCTATAGATTGTGGTTGTCGTTGTTTTTGCACGCCGGGTGAGTTTTGTAAACTTGTAGCATCGGCTTCGGTGGCACAGTAGTCAGAGCATGCGCCTTTCACCTCTGAGTTCGTGGGTTGGATTCTCACAACAGACTCATGTGAAAAGAGTCAGTCAACGCTCTGTCGAAAGTCGTGGGTTTTCTCCGGGCGCTCCGGTTTCCTCCCACAGGGAAAGTTGGTTTTTTTTATTATTATTAATGGTTTAAGATACACACCTTCGCAATAGATTGAATTATGGTGCGTTTACAAAATTGGTACGCTATATATTTACATATATAAAGAATTAAGTTGCATGCATCAAGTCTAAAAATCTTATTGAATTGCATTAAAATCATCGTAATTAAGTATCATGCTTAAGTTTCTTTACTATAACTATTATATAGAGCTACTGTACTGGGAAAAAAGCTACGGCGATATCTTTCTGTTCGGCATTTTATTGTTGTTAATGTGTTAGAGTTTCTAAGTTCATAATCATTTGAACTAGCCCTAGACAATGGAACATATTTTGACAGTGGTCCTTCAATTTCTATGCGTTTCATAGTATTGAGGCAATGTCGTTCTCGCCTTTCATCCAATCTGGAACACCCAAGTTGTGCTAATGTTTCCCTATAAGAGTAACCCGGTAAAATGATCCTCAGCGCTCGTTTTTGCACTCGCTCTAAATCATCGGCGAGGTACAAAGGTAGAGCATGATGCCATACCACACAACAGTACTCCAGAACCGATTGTATTAAGGCAAAGTATATACTCAATAAGTCTTCCGCCGGGACACCACCTCGTCGTAATATGCGGATGATATATAAGGGGTTAGGATAAACACAGTTAAGAAAGTAATATCACAATTTTTGTTGTAAAGATAAAATAGTCTAGGCTAAGTATGTAATTAGGTAAGCGTAATACTTGATGTAAAGCGCATTTGATCAGATCCACATGGAAATTTGCACTATAGAAATGCTAATCGCGACAAAGTGACGACATGGTTGTTATAAGACCAGGGGTCGGTTGTTCAAAGGTGGGTTAGCGCTAACCCTGGGTTAAAAGTTAACCTGCTGTTTTAGTTTGTGTATTTCTGCACGTCTGTTTATTTCAAAACTTCAGACAAGTAAACTCCTATCGATCCAGACAAGATCTCTGAAGAAATATTTCCAAATTTATAGACAAGCTGTCAGCAAGTTTGCTTTGAATTTTAGGTTAACCTAGGGTTAAGCTAACCCAGCTTTGAACAACCGGCCCCTGGTTAGGAAACCCGGCAAACTTCAAAGAAATTACGCTATATGAACAAACATGGAGGTTGAACAGTCAGTTTGACCCTGCAAATATTGGTTTTAATCAATGAGAATTGACCAAACGATGTAACACAAACATTCTCCATCGAAAAATGGTGGTAATACTTCGTTATTTGCAAAATATGCCGTAAAATATAGCCCTGGTAGGCAAAACAAACGCTTGGTACCCATTTCCTTCGCCAAGCTTTCTGAACTGATTATTGTCAAACAATAGAAAGACAAAGGATTTTTCAACCGTGACCTTGCACAAGGTACACAATCACCTAAAACAAAGGGTTTCCAAACCATGTCATATATATTAACTATATGGTGACGATTATCAATCCAATCACGTTTAGGATTCTTCATCTGTGCATCACACTCGCATTTCACTTCACAATTCTCAAAGACATGGAGAAGATGGCGGGATGGCATAGAATTGCCATCATTTACATATGCAGTGGGATTGGAGGAAATCTTTTGAGCGCCATTGTTACTCCCTATCAACCCGAGGTAAGATTTCGAGAGGAGAATTTATTATGTGCAACACCAACATAATCGTGGTATGATACATAGGAGTAAATGAACTTTTGATTTAGGTGACTGAGTTAAAAATGTCCTAAGACTATTGTACATGAGTTTTTGATAAAGTCCTATTATACTCTAAAAACACTCTGGTTAAATTCAACCAGGAATTGGGTTAATAATCCACCCAACACGTTCTGGTTAAATTTAACCCATTTCCTGGTTAAAAATTATCAATTCAACAAAAATTTGATACACTTTTTTGGACTTTTAACCAGGAAAATGGTTAATTTATTTTAACCAGACTTGTGTAGGTGGATTTTTAACCCCGTACTGGTTGAATTAACCCAAATTTAACCAGAGTGTTTTTAGAGTGTAAGGTTGAGCCTTGTTCAAACAAGGACGAAAGTTGCTCGCGTTTGGCTGCAAGCTCGAACTCATCAACTCTGGAACAATGATACCAAGCATTAGGATGGTATATGTGAGTGAATTATAGGTAGCACCCTTCATGGACAGGCTAACAAGCTAGGTCGCATTAAATATCATATGAATTTCACAAAACCTACTTCGGATATTCAGTATTTTTTTCTTCGACAGGTCGGTCCTTCGGGTGCTTTGTTTGGAATCATCGCTTGCCTCCTTGTTGAACTAGTTCAGAACTGGCAAATCATCAAAAGGCCTTGGGAGAACGTTCTTAAACTTGGCGTCCTGACTGCACTCCTGATTGTAATTGGCTGTTTCCCATGGGTCGATAATTTTGCTCATTTAGGTGGGCTAATGTTTGGGACATTGCTGGGCTTCGCCTTTCTACCTTACATTACGTTTGGAAAATGGGACAGACGTCGGAAAATTATACAAATAGTCGTCTCCATTGGCTTGATAATAGCCATATGTATCGTATTGTGTATAGTGTTTTTCGTGGATCAGGACAGTACGTGCGCTGGATGTCATTATATAAACTGCATTCCATTTACAGAGGACTTCTGTTCGCCATCGTTGCGTGGTCGGGGCCTGGATCCCAGAATTTTGAAAGGATAAGGAAGGATAATTATGAACACGGGTGGATCGTGCTGGATAACAGGCAATACGTAGACATCAAGGCAGGGTACTTGATAGGATAACAGGCGATATTTTGGTACTGTAAATGAAAAGTGTTAGTGTACGTGAACACAGACATGCTATTAGGATAATAGGCATTGTGCGGGTACAGGACAACAGTTGATATTTTTTTAAATGCACATGGTGAAATGATGGATACATTGGGATAGACATGAACACAAAGTACACCAATAACAAGATTCCTAGTTGTGCTGTGGTAGACTGGAGTGATATACAAACAGGTAGCAAATATTTAAGATCTGCTGCTTTTATTAAATGTTTTATTTTGTACCAATAGAAAATTAGTGAAGGCAATTCACATGTTTGGATAAATCACATTCCTAGTTTAATATTATTGTTTAGTTTCCAGGGAGCATTGAACAGACAAAAATTCATGTTCGTACTTGAACGAATAACACGTACTAAGTATCCTCGCGGAAAGTACTTAGCCATGGTTATACCGTGTTTGAGGCCTGTTTCAAACGTCGCGCTTCTCATGTGCCGAACACATTAGAAAAAATAGATAATGAGGCATTTCAGCTGACCATCTATTGTTTTTAATGCGTTCGGCACATGAAAAGTTCGACGTTTGAAACTGGCCTGAGATATTGGCTTTAGTGCTCTTATCTTGTTACTGATTACCAAATTATAAACGTGTCTCTTATATTCACTGATATAACTACATGGTGTCATAAATGTGTCATTTGTAACAAGGTAAATGACTTTAACTATAGAAATATTAGACCTATACAATGCGTGCTCCTATCCTTTCTCAGTTAAACAAGTGACGCCCATTGAACTACAAGTAAACGTTTATTTATAGTTCAATGGTGACGCCACATTAACTGTTCAAAATGGCCGATTTATAAGGGCAAATTTATAATCTCGCCCCATGACCTAAACGGTGTATAGGCGTATACACTGCCCCTTGGGCGAATCCAACATGGCCGATTTGTTTTCAGTTTGGACACCAGTCACATGACCAAACACGCATTCTAGGTCTAATATTTCTATGGCTTTAACCCAATATCTCAATCATGAAAGCAAGGCCTATAGCCAAGATTGAGAACTTCCCGGAAGGATGCGAAGGATATACAGTTACCTGAAAATATAAGCAGAACTTTCCGACGCAAGGCCATTGCTCGCAACGTCGAAGGTTTACTTATATTTTCACGGGTACATCACACCGATCGTTCGAGATTTTATACATAATTCCAATGCAGTGGCGTAATGGAGGAAGATGAGGCCCTTAGCCATATTTGGTGTGGGGGCCCCTGTTGACTGTTATCATTGTTTGACTGAGATATTATATTTATATTGAATATTTATAGAATGTTGTGGAAAATTCCATGTCTATAACAATAACAATATAACAGTCCCCAACACATGTAACAACTAATAAGAATAATTTTTGTTTTATTTGAGATGGAATAAAAAAATGAGTTACCGTTGTCGATGGAAGTTTAACTTTGCATTTTCCCATTGATTCTTAACCTGCATTTTTTACGTTTTCTAATTTTCTGGGCGACAGGCCGTGGCTGATCGGGCCCCTAACTGTCGGGGGAACTAACCCTACCTAATGAGCTTTACGCCACTGTTCCAATGCTAAGTTACCGTATTCTTTGCTTTCGTAATCTGGAAGTGATCAGGCATGTGAATTATCCAAACTTGTGGATTGGGTCGCAACATTATAAACGTGTAATGTGTAATTTTAGATAGTCATTTGATATTTGTTTGCTAAAATAATTTAAGCTGTTTTTTATAAACATGGAATGTTTTAATCAACGATATTAAAGTGCTTATCATACGTCCTGCTAGAGCGCACAGCTGACTTGAAAATGACCGTAAAGTATTTGTCCAGTTAGATATAGAGGGCACTGCATCGAATTGGAAATAGTTACTGGGGGGGAGGGTCAATCTCATCTCCCTTGGCAACTTTTCAACCCAGTCACACGGCCCACTGAATTGCAAAATCTGATTCCCAGTGCTCGAAATCCTAGTTTCGCAGCAGAAGGAATTGTGAGGGGTAATTGTGACTAGGAGAGGTTCCGCGTGACTGGCCACATTCCAATATCATATGTAATACGATACCACAATGTACATGTTTACCATTGACAAATGGCCCAAAACACCTGAGTGCAATTTAGTTCTAATGTTACGTGTTGTGGACTTTTAGTGTTATGTCTAGCTGGAATGGACCTCAGGGCCGTTTGTTCGAATGCCGATTACACAGGCAAAAATCTCACATCTTGTAGCAAGTCTGCCAACAAGCCGTCAACAAGTTGTCTTCGCACTGCTTGTCACAAGTTGTCAACAAGTTTGGAACAAGCTGTTAACACCCTGTAACAACCTTGTTGATATCATCATCAAGCTTGTTACAACGTTGTTCCAACAAGTCCGATACAGTCATGATATAGCAGTATTGTTACAACCTTGTAACATTCTTGTTTATCATGACTGTATCAGACTTATAATTGTTTTTGTTTGTGGAAACACCACGTAAATTTATTACTGCAAAACTTTCGATCCGTAAGCCCGGATCTTCATCAGTGCTAATAATATGTATCAGACTTGTTAGAACAACCTTGTGACAAGTCTGATAATACCATCAAGCTTGTTACAAGTTGTTAACAGCTTGCTCCAAACTTGTTACAACAACTGGGAACAAGCAGTGCGAACACAACTTGTTGACGGCTTGTGAACAGATTTTTAACAACTTGTTTGCAGACCTGGAACAACTTGTGCGTTTTTACGTGTGTAGCTTAACCCTAGGTTAATCTAAAATTCAAAGCAAACTTGCTAAAAGGCTTGTTTATTAAATTGGAAATAGAAATACATAAACTAAAACAGCAGGTTAAATTTTAATCCAGGGTTAGCGCTAACCCAGGTTTGAACAACCGGCCCCAGAAGTGACGTAATTTTCAAACAATGAATTATTGACCAAAAAGTATCCCACAATGGCATTCCTTTGTATTAAAAACTGCATGACGTATAAAGCACTTCTTAGGTCTATTAAGCAAAAACTAATGTTGCAAAATTTGCGTTTAAAGTTTTTTTATTGTACAATAGTTCTTATTTAGTGTTTTGCATTATGGTCTAGTTTTAGATTTATTTTTGTTAATTAATGACCAAGAATAAGGCTTGACATTTTTTATTAAAAACGACGTTTCGGAGTTTACTCCATCATCAGGTTAAAAGACTATACAATGTATCAATAAGAGATGATCCTTACTGGACCTCCAGGGAGAACAGTTTAGAACTGATAGAGCTATCCAGTATAAATGAAGTTAGTTTAGTTTAGGTTTCCTCCTGTAGTAACACTGGGTCAATACGAGATCATCCTTACTGGACCTCTAGGAAGAACAGTTTAGAACTGATAGAGTTATCCAGTATAATTAAAGTTAGTTTAGTTTAGGTTTCTTCCTGAAGTAACACTGGATCAATACGAGATGATCCTTACTGGACCTCTAGGAAGAACAGTGTAGAACTGATAGAGATTAAAAGTTAATCTTACTCCTGGAGACCAGTATAAAGACCTTTATTGGACCTCTAGTTAATTCACAATCCAAGGCATTTTTGTATACTATAAACTCTTGACGAAGGGCCTTCGCTCAAAACGTCGAGTTTCTGCTTGTTTTTTAAGGTAGTAATATAACCACTCAGCACAGCATTTCAGTGTATAATACTACTATACTGGACCGATTGACACTTTGAAGATTTTGAAATATATGGTAGTAGGCTGCCGTGGGTTTGGTGTGAACTGCTCGGAAGTGGGAAAAATTTAAAAAGAGTTCGCCAGGACCATAAAAACCTTCTGACAAAGGACAGAACTAAAGAGTAATAGAGGAATGTTTTCCCATGACCATGAGCTAGCTATATTAATGCTGTGAGTTCAGTCTGTCTGGATCAAACATATCAAAACGTGTCTGGGAATTTATGAAATATAAAGGTGACCCCCTAGAGGTTTGCGCTTTTCTAGTTCACTTGATGCCTCCTTTGTGAAATGTGATTGGCGAAACAAATTTTCCGTCGGAAATAGAGTTGAAAATGTTAATTCAACTTTAATTAAAGGCGATTTTCCACTAGGCGAAATTTTTCGATCGAACCGAAATTTCTATTGTTCAAATTCAAAAGATTTCTGTTTAGTTCCATCTGAGTGCAAATTCGATTCGGTCGAAAAATTTCGCCTAGTGGAAAACCGCCTTTTAAAAAGGCCCATTTCCACCTCGATTTCCACTCAAGAAAAATGTCCACGGACACAAAATTTTCCGAAAATATTTTCAGAATTTTTTTCCGACGGAAAATTTGTGTTGGCCAATCACATTTTACAAATTTGTTTTTCTGCGGAAAATGATATTTTCGGAAATTTTTCTTGAGTGGAAATTGACCTTGCGGATATTTTAGCTCCTTTGAACACAGTAGAAACTAGAAAGATCTAGAGGATGTAACATTAGTCAACGAACTCCCGCTGAGAAATTCTTTTTTCTATAAATATTTTTAGGATGATAACACAGATGCATATCGGAAATCGTATTGGAAAACATATATTTATGTTTTCTGATATGGACAAATAATCTCCGAAGCTGTTTTATGACACACGCTTGCTTGAAGCCGCGCGACTCGCGGGGCTTCCCACGCGCGTGACTGCGCACTTTTTTGGACATACATGTTGCCACTTTGAGCTAAGCACTTTCAGTTCTATTTAAGGAAAATTTTTGTTTTTTTTGTTTTATTTATTTAGCTTTGCCAACTAGGGCAGGGTCACCACAACAGCATGTGCCAATTACTGTGGGCCCTTTTTACCTAACCCACCCTGTCAACTTTCCCTGTGGGAGGAAACCGGAGTACCCGGGGAAAACCCACGGCTTTCGGCAATCGTCAATTGAAGTTTAAAGCCTTTCAGGGGAGACTACAATTTCCCGAAAAATACAGTAGTTTTTAAATGGCTGAAAGGGAAATACTAGCTAAATTAGTGAAGAATTCGCCAACAATGCAAGTGTGAGTTAAATCATGAATAAATGAATTGACATTCTTTCAAAAAACAATACCGCCCACCCACAAATTTCCCATAAGTAGGGGAATTTCAAGTATTACATGTGGAAGTTTTATGGTATTGTATTTCTCGCTGCTTGAAATTGGGTTCTTCATCAGCTGAAGTCTTGTATGTTTTTGAAAGAGAAAAGCAGATGTTTTAAAGGATTTTGCTGGCCGATTTCTTGTTCATCTGTTGCTTCACTTGGCTAAGTGGCTTCTGTTTAAAGTCGAGGAGGATCGCGTGATTATCAGTTTGCGTTTGTAGTCTTTTTGACTGGTGTTAATATTAATATCGACTCGGACGTTCGTCGGCATACAGTGTGTTTGTTGTTAAATTAAAAGGTATGCTCTACTCAATTTCTTTCAACAGGGTATTAGCCTGTTTTATCGTCTGTGTTATTATGTCGGGCAGCTTGTCCAGCAATTGTTTTAAAACCGAAATTAGTGGCAACAAAAAACTTGGCGTAACAAATTATTGCAGCGACTTTTGCCGACGGGGAACTATCATTAATACTCGCAATTTATAGCCTTTATATTCGAAGACCGATAATACGAATTTAACTTCGGGATTTGGGAATGAAAACAGCCCGAAATTGTGTGTGTAATTAGCACTAAACAAGCCACATCGTGCCACCGCAAAGCGAAATAAACAACGTAATATTTTGCTCATACATAAATTTTGCGTTGTTTTCATTTTGCGAAAGCCCAGTTCTAATCGCATAGAGAACCTGTTATCGGCATTAAATTTCGCTCTTAAAATTACCGTTTTGTACAGAAAAAGAGCAGACGGGGTTTCTAAGTGCTGTTCGACGGAATTTGTTGTTGGAAAATGGCAAAACAACGAGAGCAGCTTCGATGCGTGGTCAAAAATTGAACAAACAAAATTTGGTCGCAGAATGTAGCATTTTAACCGCTGTTGCAAAATTAACCCCGTCGCGATTTCTTCTATGTTTAGAAACGTTCTAAATCCAACCTCTTTTTAGATTTTATTTGACAAGGATTTTCGGAAGATTCCGGTAAATATCGTGAAATATTGCCCGGCATTTGCCGGCATGGCGGTATATATAAGTCATATGTGTGAGGAGACATACTTATGCTATTAACATTATAGTATTCCGGTTTCGGGAATCACTTGAACGCGCAAAATATCAGGGTTTTTAAAACCGTTTCCTTCCATCAAGAAGGCTTCCTTTTCGCATTAGAATTGCTTAAGCATGTTAGTGTTCATAAGCCTGTACAATCTGTACTGCAGCACGCGTGTAATGGCTATAAATGTTTGCCTTTTTTGACAAGCGTGTAAATAGAATGCATTGTCCTTGGCCTTTAATCTTTAAAATCAAATTCCACGTATGTATTTGCACAGGGTTTTGTAATTGTAAAACATTGCAAAACCACAAGCCCTTGGTGCGTTTTGATAAATAACTAAATATCCTATTCTTGCTCGCTACTTTACTTGTCGACATTTTGCTGTGATAAATTTGAAAAACTGCAACAAATCTATTGAAAGTGGTGGCCGTTTTAACACAACAGGCGGCAGATAGCATTCAATTAAATTCATATTTTTAATTTTTTTGCCTAAACTTGTAATGTGGAATATAAATTTTAGATATCATGCTAGCTTTTTAGCCCTGACGTTTTGGGAGTTTGAAATTTATCTTTAAATTAAAAACTCTTATAATGTATAATTTGTTTGGAAATGCTGTCCAAAAGATAAGAATTGTGAATAAGTAATTAAATTTGTGAGCTAGAGTGCACTGTTAATTTTTTTGTTAACAGTATAATTTACAGAATGATTCATTTGGCCTCTGCAATTAGTTATCTCAAAATAGTGCAGCAGTCAATCGTTTAGATTGCGAATGAGGCATCATGCTATGTAATATATTATGTATATATCTTAAATTTAGCTCACATTTAATATTAAGATTATGAAATTTAAACCCTCTCAAATCAGCCATTTTGAAGAGTTAGATTTTGGAGGTTTTGTTATTTTATCCCAATATTTAACAAAGACTATTGTGTGAAATTTCTGTTAGAGAAGCGAGAAACTTTTCCTTTGACATTTCTGCCGTAAAGCAGGAAATATTTTGGTTTGTAATTCCGAGAAATATCTGCCAATTGCATAGGCTATAGATAGTGAAAAATATTCAATGGATGCCAGCCAGATGCTATTGCAAATCCTGGTGTAATTAAAATATTTTAAAATAGCTTTTACCATGTATTTTAAATGTAAACTCAGCTGTTACCTGTAGTTTATTGATAATGACCGATAATCGATATCGGACCGATTTTTGCTTATCGGTAGCCAATCGGAATCTGTAGAATTATCCGTATTTCCAATTGTCTAAAACCGATTGTTGAGAAAATACGCACTTTAATTAAAAATTATATGCATTGCACGTAGATACATGTTGCATTTTAACCATTTCTATGATTTTAACGCAATATGTTAAATTGATGTGTGAAGCATGCCATTTATTAATGGTTGTAACAATCTTTGGTTGTGGTAACATTTTATGTTGGAAATTATCAAAATCGACATGAATGACGTCACCTTTACTCGGTCGACTGATATTATGATGTCATTATAAAATCGGCGTTGGTACCGGTAGATTGTGGCATGAATAATTGGTCATTTCCAATTTTTGTACAATCAATCAATCGCTAGTTTTGAGTTTGTTGCAACAAAATAATATAGTAGACTGAAATTATGTTTTATTTTGAGAATTTCGATAGCAGATTTTCAGTTTGGATATCAGGCTAAGAAAGGCTGCTATCCACAATGGATTCCAGGAAAGCTTTCTAATCTCGAACCCTGAGGAGGAATGATTTTATTCTGGTCATAGCATAGGAGGCCCAGTAGTTAGTGGTATAGGTACGAAAATGACCAAAATAGTTTTAAAATTGAATAATATTTCATTGTGTTACCGTGAAAATATCCGAGCAACTGTTTTTGTAGCCATATAGGTGTTTATTTAAACCATGCGTTGCTCAATCTTACCTTGTGGATGCTGTGTCAGACTTTATCTTGGCCAGAATCGGGTAACCACTTGTATGTGAAAAAAACCCTGGGCGGTGCTTAAATTTTGAGTACATTTCCTGCATTTAAGGGCTCTTGACAGATTCACTATTATTAATCATGCTAGTATATTATATTCATAGAATAAATTTAAGATTCTGAATACTGTCCCCTCCCCCAATAATTGTGCAAAGCTTTTTGATTGGCAACCAAGTATATAGGCTGTAAAATAGTTATCTTTTGCTTTATCACTAAGCCGTAAAGCTTGCTTCAGCTTTTGTAATTTCCAAGTTTAGAACAATGTGTCTTGGTTGTGTTGGTAGCAGAGTTGTGCACTTTTCCAAAATTTCAACGAGATCTTGGGTGCGCAAATGTTAGAAGATCTAAGTGCAGGTGCGCAAAACATTTCCCATGATGCAGTCAGGAGAACAAAAGTAGCCAGATACACGTTTTTAAAACAATGAAAATGAGAGATTTGAGGGCAGATTAAATTGCAAAAATTGTTATAAAATACACCCCAGGTACATTGAAATTTCTGCCTAAAAAATATCGAGTGTGACGTTGACCAACTCTGCAGTCTGAGCAGCGGAGTGTGGTTATTTATGTATTTATTTGTTTGCTTTGCCAGCCTAGACATTCAGAATAGAAAATATAACACAGAAAACAGGGCCGTAACTAGACACAATATTTGGGGGTGGTGCATATTCATATATTCATGTTCACATACTGTAAAAACAATCGCTTTCAAAAGAAATCAATAGGGCAGAACATGAAAATATGAATATGCAACACCCCTGTTTCGGCCGTGATAGAAAATGTACACAGATAAATAACTGGCAGGGTCACCACAACAGCTTGCTGCAATTTCTGTGGCCCCTCGTCAGAAACAATGCCATTGTAGTTGTTAACCCTTGAAATTTGTTGCATCTCAAGTATAGTTCAATAGACAATTCCCATTATAGACTAATTTTACGCACGCAATACAAAAGTATACAAAATTTTCAAACTTTGCAAGGCTATATTTTCCGCATTTTACAACATTTTGCAACCAAACTTTGCAATTTTACTCATTTTAGTATGCTCTTCCTAGCTGTGGTGATTTATTTGCATCTCCTTGCCTAGTTTTAAAATTAGTCTGATGGGAATTGTCTATTCCCACAATATACAGTTGTCTGCTTATAGTTTCCCCTCAGTCACATGTGAGAAGAGTGGTCTCATGCTTCCACTAATTTGACTTCGCCAAATACTATGTATTGTCTCTGAGTCAGGGATTTAGATATAGTGCGCCAGGTGCCCTCTCCCCCAAAATATTAAGTTTCCCTGATTTCTCTTGGGATAATTTTGAAATCAGATCTTCATCTTCTAAAAACGTGATTTATCAAAGCAAGTCAAAACAACACGTGTTAATATGCACTCAAAATTGCATGGTTGACCTCTGTAATATAATAGCCGAAGGCAACCTCTAGGAAGAGCAGTATATTAGAACCTGATGATCCTTACTGGACCACTAGGAAGAACAGTTTAGAAGTGATAGAATTCTATCCAGTATAAATAAAGTTAGTTTAGGTTTCCTCCTGTAGTAACACTGGATCAATATAAAGATAAGAGATGATCCTTACTGGACCTCTAGGAAGAACAGTTTAGAACTGATAGAGCTATCCAGTATAAATAAAGTTAGTTTAGTTTAGGTTTCCTCCTGTAGTAACACTGGATCTATAAGAGATGATCCTTACTGGACCACTAGGAAGAACAGTTTAGAAGTGATAGAACTATCCAGTATAAATAAAGTTAGTTTAGTTTAGGTTTCCTCCTGTAGTAACACTGGATCAATATAAAGAGAGATGATTTTTTATACTGGGCCCTGGCTCTTTATACTGGCATGACAGATTTGAGAACAAAATAAATTTCACGAAATATTTTTTATCTTAAAATAATCTCAGTGTCGCCTGGCTTAATAGTAAGTGCTTGCAAGATTCATTTCATCAGCCTCAGATTAAAAATTTATTTATAAGGGAAACGTTTCAGAAAATCCCTTTTAAAAACACAGACAAATCGGAATGCATTTTTACCACACGCGGTGGATTTTAAGTGGTTTTCCTGAAAGGTTTCGTTGATGAGTAATTTCATTGATGGGTATAAGCCGTCTGGACGAACTTCGGCAGAGAAAAGATAGTTTATCGTGGTTTATCTGGTAATTCCTTTGCATATATAAAACGCGGCAAGCACACAGACAACTACAGTTCACCTAATCAGATGAAACTGTGTGTTTAGTCTGCTCAGTTCTTCTTCACGCATGACCATCCATAAGCGAATTTTTCGCAACAAAGCCGAGATGCCATGGCTACACGCGTAAAAATCTCGCATCTTGTATTGCAAGTCTGCCAACAAGCCGTCGACAAGTTGTCTTCGCACTGCTTGTCCCAAGTTGTCGAGAAGTTCGGAACAAGCTGTTAACAACTTGTAACAACCTTATTGATATTAGCAGACTTGTTGCAAAGTTGTTCCAACAAGTCCGGAAGTCATGATATTATAACAGTATTCTTACAAGTTTGTGTCGTCAACCTTGTAAGATTATTGTTATATCATGACTGTATCAGACTTGTTGGAACAACCTTGTAACAAGTCTGATAATGCCATCAAGCTTGTTACAAGTTGTTAGCAGCTTGTTCCAAACTTGTTACAACAACTGGGAACAAGCAGTGCGAACACAACTTGTCGATAAGCAGTGTGTACACGCGTATAATCTCACAGCTTGTCAACAAGTTGTGTTCGCACTGCTTGTTCCCAGTTGTTGACAAGTCTAGAACAAGTTGTTATTTTAGGTATCACAAGATTAGGCATTGAGAAGCGAGAGTTTGCACGAGAGTTTTCTCAACTCTCATGCCCTGGTCAAACGAGGACAAGAGTTGCATGAGAGTTGATGAGAGTTGAGAAGCGAGAGTTTGCATGAGAGTTGATGAGAGTTGAGAAGCGAGAGTTTGCATGAGTGTTTTCTCAACTCTCATTCCTCGGTCAAACGAGAACAAGAGTTGCATCAGAGTTGACGAGAGTTGACTAGATATTACCGCGCGAGAACGAAATCTCTTATCAAATCTCATTAAAATTTGTAGCAGTTCAAAGTCAATGAGAGTCGATGAGAATTGGTGAAATGTAAACGACAGTTACAACTCTCATCATTGGCTCTCATCCTCGTTTTATACCGAGGCTTTAGTTTTGTTACTTCTCAATACTGTATATTGTGGGAAACAGACTTTTGAAAACGTTTCATTTCGAATCTAGAATACAAGATCAATCACTTATACCTTGTATCTGCTTGAATTGTAATTCATCGTTCATCCAGGCTTAACTCCACACAGAATTCCGTCAGTAGCATAGTTTTCATACACCTTCCCTTTAATGTGTTGTTATTCTTGTAGCACTTTTGCATTTTTTTCGTATGTTTATTTTTGTCATATATCTTCGCTCCGCACCTTACCGTCGGCAAGCTTTATCGTAAAAAATGAACGCTTTTTTATTATCGGCAGCTGTTCTTTTACAGCACCTGCTTTTCGTTTGTATTTCAATTACCTTTCGTAACAATGATCTTAATATATAAACAAGCATAGTCCGTTTCAGTTCCTTAGGCGTTTCCGCCATAAATTAATAAGTTAAGTTTTCGATCAGACAAGGATAGTCTCGTTCCCAGGGTCTTCTCCCTTGTAGAGATGATGATGATGATAAACTTTGGGCGTGTAAAAAACATTAACAAATTGTTACAAGTAAAATAATAAGGAAAGAAAGAAAGAAAGAAAGAAAGAAAGATTTATTATGCACATGATATTAGTATATTTACAAGTTATCTGTTGAAATTATAAAACTGAAGAATTATTACATATTTATGTTATTATAGACTTAGATTGGATGTGCGCAGTAGCTAAAGTAGCGTGAGCTTTCGAGTTGGCTACTGCGTGTTAATAATTTTACATGGAATATAGTAGAAAGTAGAAAATCGTTATGGCAAAGTAATCATATCAATATTTAGCTTCTAATTCATAATTTGACAAGTAGGTTAAGACTATATCAGGCAGGATAGGAGGGACTGTTTGTACTGTACTTTAAAGGCTTCAATATTTAAATGTTTTAAATAAGGTGGAATACAATTCCACAGCTTCGAGATAATAAATTTGATGGTGGATTGACCATAATTAGTTCTTACTTTTGGCCGATAGAAATTGCCACTGGCAGACAGTCTAGTATTATAGCTGTGAATATCAGATATTGGTGTAAGGTAATCATGAAATATGTCCATACATATTTCATGATTACCTTACACCAATATCTGATATTCACAGCTATAATACTAGACTGTCTGCCAGTGGCAATTTCTATGAATCACTTGACAGTTTTTTTGCAAATGTAGCAATTTAAATTTCACAATATTGTCAAAATTGAGTATTCCAAGAAGTTTATAGTAAGTAGTTGCTGACTCCATATGATTTGCGAAGAAAATACTACGTATACATTTATTTTGTTTAGTACGAATCTTGGTTAAATTAGTTGTATACGCGCTATCAGAATCACTGCTAAAGACAACATGCCAATTACCAGTGAGAGCATTAAATTCAGTATCTGATAGGTAATAAAATGGTAAATTAGATAACTCACAGTCTTGTTCATCCATCGCTTCACATACAGTTTGTGTCTAAAAATAATCACGAATTATTGTTTAGTCCTTAGAAATAAACCTCTGAAACTCTTCTTCTGTTGTAAAGCTGTTAACTGGCGACGATTCTGTTTGGCGAAGGAGAATTTTCCCGTTTGCAGTCCATATAAATTTATAGTTATGCTGTCTACGATAGTCGTGGAATTTTCCAAAGAGACGCTTTCTGTAAGCCGTCAAAGATTCATTGATGAATATTTTTGTGGGTTGAGAGATACTCTTGCCAATTTCTGCATTTACTGAGGGCAGGCAATCTGTCAGTTTTCCATTTAAAACTTTCCTCTTCTTATAAATTTCTTCTCGTATATGTCGCGGCGTACGAACTTGACAATAATGCGGTCTTGAATTTTCCTCGTGGGGGGAAGTCTATGCGCCGTAGATATGTCATTTTCGTTCAGTAAAACGCCTAAGGTTGCTCCAAGTTCCATGACAATATTTTTCGGCTCGTCGTTGGGTAATGTAGGTATACCTGTAATTTCCAGACAATCACGCCTTTGGTATTGTTGGATTTCGTCAATGGCGGCCATATTATCATAGTCGTTGTTCTTTAATCCGGTTATTGTTTTACCCTGGTCTTCGATTTTGCTTTCAATTTGCTGCATTTGTTTCTTAGTTGTCTGTGTAATCTTTATTAACTGGTCATACTGTTCGGAAAAGAAGGACAGGGTCTTTTCAAACTCATCCAAGCGCTTGTTTAGATCACGAATTTCAGTATATAGCGAGGCATTCGCTGAGTCGATTTCCTTTCGAATTTCTGGCAGAAATTCATTTTTCCACAGTTCACGAAACCTTGCAATAGTAAGCTGTTGTCTTGTTGTTGTCATTTTGATAGATTATTATCGATTATCTACATAAAACGAACTTACATGAGCAGAACCAACTTACTCGGCTTGCTCATACTCGGCGAGGAAGTATTAACATGCAGAATATAAAATTATTAAAATATATACAAAAAGTTTGCTATTTACAATGATGTGGTTTTCTTTATAAGCTATAGGTAGCGATTTTTCTTTTAAAACTTGAGAGCGAATTACTTTCTCTTATATTTTTTGGAAGAGAGTTCCATATGGAAGCTCCATCATACATGAAACTCTTTTTCATATTGTTTGTGTTTGGCTTGGGCAAACGTATGGTACTTGAGCTGTTACGAAGACTGCGGTTTAATATTTCTTTTTTGAAAGTAAATAATTCTTTGAGACAATTTGGCCCCATGTTATTTAGCGTTTTAAACATTATTTTTGCCTTTGCTTTCACTCTTTGTTCCTTGAGTGGTTCCCATCCTAATATATTTAGCACAGTTTGTTGATCTACCTCATTAGGCACACATGCTATTACACGAGCAGCTCTGTTATGAAGTTTTTGGAGACGCGTGGATTGCGTTTCACCAAATATATTCCAAACTTCACAACAGTAGCTAAAGTATGGTTGAATTATAGCATTGTATACGGAAACAAGTGTTTTTTGATCAACATATTCTTTAATGCTTTTAAGAGCGTATATTCCAGATGATATCTTTTTACATATATTATCTGTATTGCTCTTCCAACACAAATTTTCATCAACAGTCACACCTAGTGTTTTACATTGAAAAACCTGCTTTATGGGTATGTTTTGAATGTGAATTTTTTAAGTTGCTGAACAGAAGCTTTTTTCAGCATCTGTTTAGTACCAATAATTTGAAATTCAGTTTTCGCCACATTCAAGCTCAGTTTGTTTGCCATGAGCCATTTACGAAGCATTTCTAAATCTGAGTTTACTGCATCTTCAAGATCACTTAAGCATTCTCCAGCTGCTGTGATATTTGTATATCATCAGCAAACAGCCGTGGTTTTGTTTTACTCAGACATGCAGGTAGATCATTAATATACAGGGTGTATAAAAAAAAACTGAACAGATTTGAAATCGCTCTCAATTTCGCAAAACACCTATTTGTATCCCATTTTTTATATATATAGCTTCTTTGGGTACTTATAATGTAGAATAATGATGAAAAAATTCTCAAACTCAAATTTGGTGAACCAGGGGGGTGTGTCATTTCCAACAAATTAAAAATGGCTCGCGCACAAAATTTAAAAGCTTTAATCATATTTTGAGTTAATAGATGGAAAATTTGTTTGGTTTTTAATTACTGTACAAAATTTCAGACAATTTGGTTTAGTTTAAGCCGTTTAACTATTCATTTTATTCTAAAAAATCAGCCTTTCGCATGCTTAATTAATGCATTTACCTAATTTGCATATTGCTAACATATGCAAATTAGGCAAATGCATTAATTAAGCATGCAAATAGCTGATTTTTAGGAAAAATGTAACTTTGCGTGAATAGTTAAACGGCTTAAACTGAACCAAATTGTGTGAAATTTTGTACAGTAATTAAAGACCCGACAAATTTTCCATCTATTAACTCAAAATACGATGACAGCTTTTAAATCTTGTGCGCAAGCCATTTTTATTTTGTTGGAAAAGGCACACCCCCCTGGTTCACAATATTTGAGTTCAAGAATTTTTTTCATTATTCTACATTCTAAGTACCCAAAGAAGCTATATCTATAAAAAACCGGATACAAATCGGTGTTTTGCGAAATTGAGAGCAATTTCAAATCTGTTCAGTTTTTTTTGATACACCCTGTAGAGTAAGAAGAATAGTGGCCCCAATATAGACCCCTGGGGTACACCACATTTGACGTCATTTTCCCCTGAAATAGATCCATTGACTTCACATCTTTGAGTACGACCAGTTAAGTATGATTTGAGTAATAGAAATGCACTTCCTGTGATTCCAACTAGTTTTAGTTTTTGCAATAAGATCTCATGGTCAACAGTATCAAAGGCTTTTTTTAAGTCTACAAATACAACCAAATTAAAAAGTTTTCTATCCATGTTTATGTACCAATCATTTGTGCAATCAAGTAAAGCTGTTGCAGTTGAATGAAATTTTCTGAAACCAAATTGATGTTCAGAAAGTATGTTATTTGCACTCAAATATTCATAAAGTTGACTATATAGGATACGTTCCATAATTTTACTAATGTCTGGTAACACAGAAATTGGTCGATAATTTCCTGGCAAGTTTCGTTTGCCATTCTTAAAAAGGGGAATTACTCTTGCAATTTTCCATTCATGTGGAAAAGTACATAAAGTTATTGCTTGATTAAAGATGTAAGTCAATGAATCGGAAATTAATGGTGCAGCAATTTTGATTATCTTGCTGGATATTTTATCCAGGCCAGTAGCTTTGCTACCAGACAGTTCACGTAATAAAAGACAAACATGACTAACAGTAACTGACTGGAATGCAGTAAATTCAGAATTAGTTTTGTCAAGGAAGTCTTTAGAATGACATCCTGGTGTACTAATTTCTTCGGCTAAATTCGGTCCAATATTTGAAAAGAAGGTATTGAAGCCCTCAGAAATTTCATCAGGGCTTGTTAATTTTATGCCATTTAAGTTTAATTCGTTTACTTTAGTTCTTTGATTTTGTTTACCAAGTAAGGTATTAATTGTCTTCCAAGCAGCTTTTGGATCTTGCTTTTCAGTCGCTATTTTATTGGAATAATATTCCTTTTTGGTTTGTCTTAGAAGATTGTTTGTTTCATTTCTGGCTTTTTTATAGTTATCCCAATCTGTTTCAAGTTTAGTGATAATTGCTTTTCTTTTCAAATTATCTCTTGCAATTATTAGTTTTTTTATATGACTAGTAGGCTAATCCAAGGATTTTTTTTAGATTTTGTTTTTTTGTTTTGAATTGGGGCATGTTTATCTAGGACTTGTAAGAAAAGTTGTTTCCAAATTTCCCACATAGTGTCAGGATTGTCTGCAAAAAATAGACATGTTCCCATGTTTGAGTTCCTAGGTCTTGTAAAACTGCTGTTCATTGAATTTTTTCATATTTCTAATTTCAATTATGTTATCATTATCTTTGTGTCGAATGTTAATCTTTCTTATGCCATAAATGAGACTGTGGTCACTAATTCCAGTATGTATTACACCACATTTGGATATTTTTCCTGGTTCATTGGTAATAAAATGATCAATAAGTGTGGAGGATGTCCTAGTGATCCATGTGGCTTTATCAATTATCTGGGATAATTGATAAATTTCGAGTAAAGATTTAAGTGTCTTAGTTGGATGGTCAGGAATAGACTTAAAAAGGTCGCAGTTAAGATCACCCAGTATATAGATTTCCTTGTTTTCATTATCAATCTTTTTTAAAAGGTTTTCAAGATGGATAAAAAAATTCGATGAAGCATCTGGGCGTCTATAAACCGTAACAACCACAAATGGTCTGCTATGCGGTTTAGTTATCTCTATGCATATAGCTTCTAGATCGGCTGGTATAAGATCTTGTCTGATTTGATAGTTTATAGAATTACGTAGGTAAATGCAAACACCACCACCATTTCTAGACCTATCTTTTCTTATAATGTCATACCCATCTATATGAATCATACCATCAGTTATGGTTGAATTAAGTCTGGTCTCACTAAATGACATTATATCGAGTAATTTGTTTGACATACTTAAGTTAATTTCATCAAATCGTTTTGGCAAGCTTACTATATTTAAAAAAGCCATTTTAAATCCACGCTGATTGGGAAGACAATTAATTTTATCCGAAAAATCGCTACCCATTTCTGTTTCATTATGTATTTGACTATGTTCTATTTTATTATGTAATAATGGGATAAGATAAGACGAGCGTAGGGTAGAGAGTCTCGGAACGAGGTTGCAAGCGGGCGTTTGTCGTTTGAGGAAAGTCGCACGGAGCCAGAGCGACAATCCAGGCAACAATGGGTGACTCCAGCTACAGACGAAATTTTGATCTAGGCAAGAAGAACGAAACCCTATCACCACAGCTGGAAAGAGCATTTTAAAATGAGTAAAATTGCAAAGTTTGGTTGCGAATGGTTGTAAAATGAGGAAAATATAGCCCTGTGAAGTTCGCAAATTTTGTATATATTTGCATTACGCGCTGGAAAAAGAACCATTTTTATTTTTACCGCGCGTGGTACAAATATATACAAAATTTGCGTATAGGGCTATATTTTTTCATAGGGCTATATTTTCGTCATTTTACAACATTTAGCAACCGATCTTTGCAGTTTTATTCATTCTAAGACGCTCTTTCTAGCTGTGGTGTTGGATTTCGTTCTTCTTTCCTTGATCAAATTTAGTCTACAGCTAGAATCGCCCATTAATAGCACGGACTTGTTGTCACACGGAGCGACATTTATCCCAGTAGGACAATGAAACATCGCTCTCTCTGATTGGTCCATTTTCTCCCAGCGACATGTCACATGAATGTCTAACACGATGAGACAAGTAGCGGGGACGCAATTTTCTTCTCGTGAAAGGTTGTATATGCAACAATAATCTATTCTCGTGACAAGATTTCCACATGACTCACACGATGAAATGTGTGGCAGAATCTTTGTGGCCGAAGCGGGAGTTTGTATGAGAGTTTTCTCAACTCTCGTGCCCCGGTCAAACGAGAACAAGTGTTGCACGAGAGTTGAGAAGCGAGAGTTTGCATGAGAGTTTTCTCAACTCACATGCCCCGGTTAAACGAGAACAAGAGTTGCATGAGAGTTGACGAGAGTTGAGAAGCGAGAGTTTGCATGAGAGTTTTCTCAACTCTTATACCCCGGTCAAACGAGAACAAGAGTTGCATGAGATGCTTGTGATGTTACTCTGAGTGTATATCCACACCGGGCAAGCTTGAAAAATATGCCCGGTGTGGATATACACTCAGAGTAACATCACAAGCATCATTTCACCTGAGTACATTACACCAACACAGAAAAAATCAAGTTGCATGACAGTTGATAAAAATTGAGAAGCGAGAGTTTGCATGAGAGTCAAACGAGAACAAGACTTATTACATGAGAGTTGATGAGAGTTGAGAAGCAAGAGTTTGCATGAGAATTTTCTCAGCTCTCATGCCCCGGTCAAACGAGAACAAGAGTTGACTGGATATTACCGCGCGTTAGCGAAAACTCTTATCAACACTCATTAAAATGTGAACCAGTTCAAAGTCAATGAGAGTTAATGAGAATTGCATGAAAGTTGATTGGATATTATACGACGAGTACCAGTCAAACGAGAAAAATTGAATCAGATGAAAACAATATCATTTCATTCTCTTTGTGTCATTTAGTCTCCCTCGCATTATCATATTTATACTAAACTCAATTGCGTCTCATTTCTAGATGTAATCCTTAGCAGATGAACTGTTTTTCCCAACAAAGCCCTCGTATATGATGAAGGACGATTATGACAAAAAGTCCTCCAAGACAAAGCATTTTATTCCTCTCGACGTATTTCTATCAAGTTACTAAAGAGACTTCATAATGGCTCGTCTAGTCCCTCTTATCTGGAGTTTAGGATGTGTATTTTTCTTGTACGCCCCAGTATTGGAAGGTAAGTCAGGTAGGTCAGTGGATTGTGTGTGTGTGTTGGGAGGGGGGGGGGAGCCCTGGTTCCAGGGCTGGAACTGCGAGACAAAAGAAACGCGAAGACGGAACCACTTTCTGAAAAAAGGTATCAATTTCTGAAATGACTGAAAAACGGCAAACTTCGCAGGTCTATATTATCTTTATTTTACAACATTTCGCAACGAAACTTCGGAATATTACTAATTTTGTGATGCTGTTTCAAGCCAAATTTTTGTCTAGACTTGTCTCGATCAAGATTTTGTTCATTATTAGGTAATAGGTCCATTCGCAAGTACATTAATTCAATGGTTGAACTTCGTTTGCAAACAAATGTTCGTACTCAATAATAATAATAACCAATTCAATGAAATACAAACCTTAATTCTTGGTAGACCACTGGACCAAGAACTTTCCATTGAATTGTTAATTTCAACTTGAACTATGAACATTTGTTTACAATAGTTCAAACATTGAAATGTACTTGCGAACTTTGTTGCGAACTTTGTTGCGAAGTTCACGCTCAATTTTCGAACTTGGAAACGTAATTGCCAAGTTTGCAACGAACTTGGGAACCGCGCGTTGAAAGGTGTTTTGAAATCGACAATAAGACTCCCTAGACCGCCCAGAGGCCACAGCCCGCCTACTCTATCAACACAGCCTTGATAACTTGTTGTCATTTGTCCTCGTTAACATTTTATCTTCTTTCTTTAGTATCGAGCTCGGATGTCAGGAGAACTTACAAATTGGGCTTTATGCTGCCTTTTAACGCTGATACTGCATGTGATGCCCATCTTAGAAGCTATGCGGGACAATATGCACCAGCCATTCTAGTTGCCATGGAACACATTAGAAATGATACAAGTTTGAATTTCAATTTAACCTGGGTTTGGAATGACACAATGTGTAACGAGTCCAAAGCAATCCGACAGCAAGTATGGCAGCTAAATAATGGGGTTGATGCTTTCTTCGGACCAGGCAAAAGCTGTGCTACCACATCGAGGAATGCATTAGCTTTTAATAAACCTGTGATATCATATGTAAGTGTAATGAAAGGCGAAAAAGACTGAAACCTACCCCTCTGAAACCTTATCCTAAGGCTTCAGTAACGTTTAGGGTCCAGGAAACACTGCGGTCAAACCAGTCCTAGCCATGTTTCCCAAAGGTGGACAAACCAGGAAACATTGTTTCCCAGCCATGTTTCCCAAAGGTAGACAAACCAGGAAACATTGTTTCCTATCCATGTTTCCTGAAGGTAGGCAAACCAGGAAACATTGTTTCCTAGCCATGTTTCCCAAAGTTAAAAATTAAAAGAACGTACTTAAACGGTTTCAACGTCCAACACTGCCTTCTAAAGCTAAGACCCTGCGCCAATATTTCCTTTATCTAGGAATGCAGAGATGCCCCTCTGGCCGACAAGGATGTTTACAAAACGTTAGCAAGAACTTCAATAAACAATGTTCACATCGTTCCGCCATTACTGGCAACATTAAAACAATTCAAGTGGAAAAGAGTCGCTATTGTTTATCAGAAAAAGATTCAGTGGCAAATGATCTATAATTATGTGTCGAAAGTACTCGCAGAAGAAAAAAATAACATCACTATCGCGCTTACAGAAAGTGTCCAACTTGACTATAAAGAGTTTCATCAACGCAATTTTCAGGCTGTTGAAGCGTCTTTGAGAAGAATAAGTCAGACGGCAAGAAGTAAGTGTTTCCTTCCACTCTTCTTTCCTTTCATTCTTTCCTTCCTGCCTTCCTTCCATTGTCTTTCCTTCCATTCTTCTTTCCATTGTCTTTCCTTCCATTCTTCTTTCCTCCCGTTCTTCTTTCCTTCCATTCTTCTTTCCTTCCATTCTTCTTTCCTTCCATTCTTCTTTCCTTCCATTCTTCTTTCCTTCCATTGTCTTTCCTTCCATCTTCTTTCGTCCCATTCTTCTTTCCTTCCATTCTTCTTTCCTTCCATTCTTTCCTTCCATTCTTCTTTCCTTCCATTCTTCTTTCCTTCCATTCTTCTTTCCTTCCATTGTCTTTCCTTCCATCTTCTTTCGTCCCATTCTTCTTTCCTTCCATTCTTTCCTCCCATTCTTCTTTCCTTCCATTCTTCTTTCCTTCCATTGTCTTTCCTTCCATCTTCTTTCGTCCCATTCTTCTTTCCTCCCATTCTTCTTTCCTTTCATTCTTCTTTCCTTCCATTCTTCTTTCCTTCCATTCTTCTTTCCTTCCATTCTTCTTTCCTTCATTCTTTCCTCCCATTCTTCTTTCCTTCCATTCTTCTTTCCTTCCATTGTCTTTCCTTCTTTCCTCCCGTTCTTCTTTCCTTCCATTCTTCTTTCCTTCCATTCTTCTTTCCTCCCATTCTTCTTTCCTTCCATTCTTCTTTCCTTCCATTGTCTTTCCTTCCATCTTCTTTCGTCCCATTCTTCTTTCCTTCCATTCTTCTTTCCTTCCATTCTTCTTTCCTTCCATTCTTTCCTCCCATTCTTCTTTCTTTCCACTCTTCTTTCCTTCCATTCTTCTTTCCTTCCATTCTTTCCTCCCATTCTTCTTTCCTTCCATTCTTCTTTCCTTCCATTGTCTTTCCTTCCATCTTCTTTCGTCCCATTCTTCTTTCCTTCCATTCTTCTTTCCTTCCATTCTTCTTTCCTTCCATTCTTTCCTCCCATTCTTCTTTCTTTCCACTCTTCTTTCCTCCCATTCTTTCTTTCCTGCCTTCCTTCCATTGTCTTTCCTTCTATTCTTTCCTCCCATTCTTCTTTCCTTCCTTATAAATATAATAACTTTACTTTCTATCTAGAAGTTGAATTGTTTGGAACCAGTATAAATATAAATACAAATGCTGAAATTGTGTATTTTCTCGTTACTAGTTGTAATTCTACTAATGAGTCATGAACTTGTTATTGAATACATGCTGTCTGCCCACAAGGAAGGTCTCGTTCAAACTGGAGAATATGCCTTCATCAGTTTTCAACTCAGTCCAGAGCTATTGAACCATAAGGTAGGAATATTTATGACCTGTTACCAAAGCATTGACAAAGTCATGCCTGTCAAAACAGGGTATCCTAGGTAGTGGCGCTACCTGCAAGTGTCTGAAGCTAACTGCAAGAAAGTTTTTATGCATACTAACTAAAAAAATACTTTAAATTTTCCACAAACTAATTGCAATATTTGCATTTTCTGGATTTCTATTCTTTGAATATTATTTATTAGTATAATTACATAGGTGATTATTGAATATTCTCCACGCTGATTGGTTGCCGTTGAGGTGATTATTACGCGATAATCACCTAAGCGATTTTCAAAATGGCGGCCGAAGCCGTTTTGTCAATTAAATGACGGAGAAATATGTATTTTTTATATTTTTTCCAAATAATCACCAATGAAATTATACTAAAACAATTATTCACCTCAGGCTCGGTGATTATCGTGAATAAAAACCTCGACTTCGTCTCGGTTTTTATTCACCGATAATCACCTCGCCTTCGGCGAAATAATTGTTAATTATTTCACAATTTACATTAAGTATTACTAAGAACATTGCATGTGAAACGCTGGCCAGTCGAGCCCGCATATTTTTCGTGCGCTAGACAATGACATTTAAGAATTTCAAAAATTTAAATAAGTTGAATTATTCATCGAGCAACAAACTATGTAATTGTAAGGGTAAAGGTTATATGGAAAAGGAATTTTTAATAAAGTAAATGAATAAGAGGGTGTATTGTGGAGACTGCGAGAAGAGTTGGTCCAGAAAGGCTGGTTTTGATGAGAATTTTAAGCTAACCCAGATAAAGAGTGACGATAGTGGCGGTGCTCTTATTAAAAACCCATGTTGTTAACGGAAAAGAAAAGTTTGGGGTTACACGTTAGAAGAGGCCCGAGCCAGCAAGAAACAGAATTCACAGACTGTGAATATAAAACAGGATTTGACTCGCTTGAGGTCTATCGGGCTAACTGCAAAATTTTTTTGGCTACCTGCAAAAAAACTAAATATACAGGCATGGACAAAGCACAACATGTTTGCATATAGCGCAGGAAAATTCATCCACATCTTGTACTTTGTGGTTCAATTGGAGAAAGAACCGTATTATTTTCGATAGTTTTTAGATCACTAGGTAAGGATTTTTTGAAAAGACTTGCACCACTATAGGATATCTTAACTTTACTGATGTCGGTTTCAAACATATAAAAACCAGTTCTACCGTACAGTCTTTTTCTTCCTTTTTAATCATTTTTACGTTCTCCTTTTTACAGATTCAGATGAAATGGTATTTCGGTGAATTTAGTGGGCCAGGCTACATGGAAAAGATCATTAAAAGTTTTTCAGCGCTGTTGATCCTGCAAGTGAGACCAATTACGTACGGAAGGCATAAAAATAACAGCATGACGTACAGTAATTTTTCCGCCGAAGTCCTGCGATTAAGCAGAGAGCCACCTTTCAAATCAGATGCTTATCAGGGTTGCCTGTTTGTGAATAATTCAAGTAACTGCAGTAAGTATAGTGTGGAATTGATCGAAGTGAAAAAATAATGTTCAAGAGTCATCAGCAGGACTGTTCGGTATACCGATTATCCGAAAATATCGGTATTAAATCAATATCGGTATATCGATACCGGATATTCAACCATACCGATATACCGAAATTTCCGATATACCAGAATTTTTCGGTATACCGTGTTAAATTTACCAACTATATGGCGAAACTATAACCTTTATTTTACTACTGAATGGCACTTCAAAGAACCTACTGCAATGACTTAGAATTTCCACTTCAGTGAGATTTTACACTGAGTATACGTGTCGTTCGAAACATGTTCGAAACAGCTTCGAAATTATCGTTTTCCCTTTTAGAATTACTCAAAATTTCCTTAAAATTTCCATTAAAGAATTTTCCTTTATAATTATCAAAGGAAAACCGGTATACCGATAATATCGGTATAATTTTTTCGGTATACCGATACCGGAAATTTCTCATACCGAACATTCCTAGAGTCATGTAGTTATTACTTTACATATCATGGTACATATCAAGGCTGGATCTTGGTGGACGAGCTGGTTAGGCCTTCAGCCTGCGAGCAGGCTCTCTATGAGCTTCGAATGTAGCCCCTGAAGTTAACCATGTGTTAATATTGTTAAGTTAGTCTTAATCTTTCTGTTTAACGAAGTGCTATCTAAAGCCTAAACGATGTTTTGTTTTTAGCTGAAAGAACGTGCAAGTGTATATTTTTGAAAAATACAAGTCTCGTAAGTGATATCTTAATTCTTTCCATCTTTTTGACATTTTGTATTTATTACATAATAATTACTTTCATTCCAAGCTTATGTCACGAACGTATTTTTGTTTTGGCTTGCAGGTGCCTATCGAAGCAGCGAATTTGTATCATGGAATTGTACAGTATGCATACGCTCTGAACAGAACTTTGGCGAAAAATCAAGAGCCAAATGGAATAAATATCATCGACGCTTTGAAAGGACACACTTTCGATAGTAAGTATTATATTATGTTGAAGGTTTTTGTGGATGGGAACTTCCAGTGTGTTCTTTATACATGTATTAGATCTAACCAGGAACAGTTGCGAAAAATGAAACTATAAACCCTCTGCCAGGAAACGAACCTGTGGCCCTGTGATTCCAGTGCAGCACTCTAACCAACTGAGCTACAGAGGTCAGTTGTCGAGCTCTAACCAACTGAGCTACAGAGTCCAGTTGTCGAGCTCTAACCAACTGAGCTGCAGAGGCCAGTTGTCGAGCTCTAACCACAAGTTCTTGTATGAATTTCCTTTAGGTATATTTGGATTCGACATGACATTTGATGATCAAGCGGATGTTATGTTCAACATGACTCTACTGCATCAGGAATATGTCAATGGCACAAAAGAAAAGACTAACTGTGTACCTTTTATGCCTAATGAACCTTGCATGGGTGAGTTTTTGGCGATAACTACTATATAACAAGACGCTCTGTGGAGCGTTAACTCGCTGGGGCTACACAACTGACGCACATTGCTGTTAAGATCTAAAGGCCTGATTCCACGAACGCTTTTTCTCGGCGAAATGCGAATTATTTCGCCTGTTTCTTTTGAATTGCAACTACTCGAATAAATTAATTCTACTTGATTGCTCACAATTCAAAAGAAACAGGCGAAATATTTTGCATTTCGCCAAGAAAAAGCGCCCGTGGAATCAGGCCTTTAAGGTTCGATCACACGGAGCGACAAGTCGCAGGGGCATGTTGCAGGGACATGTGGCCCGAAACGAAGCGTCAATGCTAGGCGAAAACAAGTCGCACAAGCGCTTACAGGCGCGTGGTCACACGAGGCGACAATTCATGCGACAAGTCAAAGAACTCCCATGAGGACTTATATTGAAATTGAGCGTGCAAGTAGTCATGGGAATGATATTTTGTGATAGGTCGGACTAATTATTTCCCCGCGACTTGTGAACAGACTAGCTCACACGATGCAACAAGTCGCGGCAACGGTTTTTGTCCCCGCGACACGTCGCATGAAATCAAATCAATTTGATGTGACACACAAACATGTGACACACGATGAAATTCGACCCCGCGACATGTCCCTGCAACATGCCCCTGCGACTTGTCGCTCCGTGTGACCGAACCTTTAAAGGCTGATTTCCACTGTTGCGCCGCTGATTTCCACTGTTGCGTTTTTCGTACGCACGTACACGCACGTAAAACTTTGAATCCTTCTATTTTTGACATATTTTACAAATAAGTTAACAAATGCATACTAAAACTTGCGCAACACTAAATTCTGTTGCTTTATTTATGTGGTTATTTCATAAGTAATATTTAACAGATTTAAAGTTTTACGTGCGTATATTAGTCTATATTAAAGGCTGATTTCCACTGTTGCGTTTTTCGTACGCACGTACACGCACGTAAAACTTTGAATCCTTCTATTTTTGACATATTTTACAAATAAGTTAACAAATGCATACTAAAACTTGCGCAACACTAAATTCTGTTGCTTTATTTATGTGGTTATTTCATAAGTAATATTTAAACGGATTTAAAGTTTTACGTGCGTATACGTACGTATGAAAAACGCAACAGTGGAAATCAGCCTTAAGCCTGGTGTGGAAATTAAGCCTGGCCATAAACGCCAGAAGTTTCCCCTTTAGCTCGGGCCCACAAGTAAAGTTATATTTTATAGTACGCTACATTCTTCTGTCGGCCGCCAGTTTAAAACGTTCAAAATAAAATATTTTGGGGCTTTTCGGCTCAAAATATTATCAAAATGAAGAGAGAAGTGAGACGACTCCACTGGTGTACGGCCGAAAAAGAGAAAACCAATGATACCAAAGTTATCAAGGATTAAACGTACTGCATCTTTTATAAATTATTTGAGCGATTTGTCGGCAAATAATACAATTTCGCTTGGCTTTCAAAGACAAAGTCAAAGGCCATAAATAGCTATAATACTGTTGTCAGCCAAAGGCCATAAATCGCTAGAATACTGATGTTTAGTAATACATTTGACATCCGTACCGTAAGTACAATTTCTTACGCCGAATCGAACGGTGGTATTTTTATCCTTCTTGCGCCGCGCCATTAATTAGACAATATACATACAAGGGCAAACGTACTGCGAGTGATTTGATGTCAACAATACAATTTCGCTTGATTTTCAAAGGCCATAAATCGCTAGAATACTGATGTTTAGTAATACATTTGACATCCGTAAGTACAATTTCTTACGCCGAATCGAACGGTGGTATTTTTATCCTTATTGCGCCATTAAGAGGCATTTTATACAAATACAATATCATATATTTTCACACTGAGTACACTACAGTCTACAGACAGTTTTCACGGACTGTTGTTCGATAAACTGCACAACGTAGTTTTAATAAATAACCTTTTACCTTGAAATTGTCTTTGGCTCGTTTATATTCAGATTCAGTATATTATGATCGTGCACGGGAATTCGACGATCCAAATTTCGAATTTTCAGAGTCGTGCACCAACGAAAACGCATTAAATAAACTAGCATGAATGTCCTGAGTTTGACACAATGCAAAATCCATAGAAAACAGGTACAATTCGGCCAAAATTTTCACCCAATTGGGCACGGAATTGTTTGAAACATTTTGCCCACTTCACGAAAGGCCCCGCCATTTTGAAAAGGTCAAGCAGCTCATTAATATTCTATTTTGTGGCTATCGGAGATTGGAGAACCATGCCGAAACCTATACTCGTCTGGGGCACAGATGCCCCAGCGAGTAATTATGATTACACTCCGCAAAATATTTGGGGGGGGGGGGTAGGTTAGCAACAGGACTCGAAATAGCGGGCTGCCAATGGCCAAAACCAGGCCATATTTTAGAAATGGCAGGTGAAATTCTATAGATATATTCCATTTCATTTGCTTACCACAACTCATATATACTAGATCATTTAGTTGACTAAATACGTATATATTTGAAATGTAAATCCAAGTTTAATGCAGTAAAATAGACAAGTTTAAAAATAATAAAAAATGCATATTATGAAAACATTGATTTTTACAATGTGACTCATATGAGACATCGCCATTTTGGCAGTTCAATGAATAAATATGACACGCCATATTCTTTCTCTACTTCCAGCCCTGGTTAGCAACAACAACATATGACCAACTTTTGTAGCTTGAAATATTAGTTCTTAATTTAATTTATATTTAACAAATATAAAACATTTTCCGTGTTGATATACAGTTATATCAACACGAGTGGAATTGGGAAAACGAGAAATTGTATGGAAACACGACGCCGAGTGTTTTCATACAATTTCGAGTTTTCCCAACTTCCACGAGTGTTGATATAACTATATATCAATACGGAAAAAATGTTTTATATTTTTTTTATAATATAGCAATGTCAAAAGCCCGAAGGATAAGCAAAATTTCCGTGTTTACAAGCGGCGGAAAATTTCCCGTGTTGACATTGAGTTATATCAACACGGCTCTTAGCCAATCAACGTTCAGACTCTATACTACTAGTACTCTATACTACTAGTACTCTATACTACTAGTACTCTATACTACTAGTACTCTATACTACTAGTACTCTATACTACTAGTACTCTATACTACTAGTACTCTATACTACTAGTACTCTATACTACTAGTACTCTATACTAGTAGTACTCTATACTACTAGTACTCTATACTACTAGTACTCTATACTACTAGTACTCTATACTACTAGTACTCTATACTACTAGTACTCTATACTACTAGTACTCTATACTACTAGTACTCTATACTACTAGTACTCTATAC